ATTGCGTAGTTTAATTCACTGTATATACTTCCCGGAAGAATTCTCGTTCGATCTTTGCACAATAAATAAAAAAATCGCGATCATGCTTACGGCGAGACGTAATAGAAACACGATAAAATAAAAATATATAGTAGATGATCACCTATTTGTTACACATATTACCGTTTTTTACCAATTTTCCGGAGTGTTGCTACTGCCATGGTGTCAGGGGGCACGTCCTTTCCAACCGGTGCTCTGAAACAGAGAATAAACGCGTTTAAACCAAGCAATTACATTAAATTACAATTTCGCTACAAATAAATAACTATTGTACTCGAGGTGTGCCGTGAAAGATTGTAAATGGAATCAGAAATGCGTAAATACTACAGCGTAAATGAAGAAAATCGTGAAAACCGATCACTTTGTCCCGTAATATCGAATTAATTTACGATAATTTACTCGAAATTGAATAAATATTAAACGAAAGTAACGATAAAGAAATAACGAAGGCACTAATAGTTTGTACGAATGATTAGATGTGAAAAGTAAAGATCACGTACACTTCGATGGGAGCGAATTCACTTCACGTCTTGTCACTTCAACTTGTGCGAGACGAATGACCCTTAGGACGTCTTTGACTGCTCGGGATGTGTTGATTCGGCTATCTTAGGGGCATCGTTATTGGAGGTTCGGTGGGTGGGGGTAGCTGTCCTCCCCGCCCCACTTCAATTTCTAGTTTAACGAAATAGAATATTCAGTACCATATTACACGCCGTACGACTTTTTTTTGCGTATACCTTCGGTTAGCTCAACGAGCATTGACCCACCTCGAACAGAATAACAGACGCACAAGGACGATTTCTCAGAAATTTCATTTCGCAGCACACTGATGGTTATAAACAATGTCAGAGCCATATGTTTCGTGCCTTTGTTTGACCATTTTTCGAAAACTTACATTCCAATGTACCCTACGACTAATGAATGAATTGAACCGCGTACAACTAACGCCGTTATGTATTGGGCGTACGTAGGTATTTACGTTATTACGCAACAGCTAGTTTCTATGTCACGTTGGTTCTTGTTGAATTGTTTTTACCGGCTTGAACGACGTTCCTCCTTGAACGACCCAAACACCAGATGGTACGGCCAGGTACGCAACGTCACTATCGCGTTGGACCGACGGAAAGACTCTCACTCGCACACCACTCCCCATAGACCACTGAAATTCTTCGGCACGCAGATCTTGAATAAAGCCTAGGGTCTTCAATAAATACATACATACAATTAAATGCGATTTTAACAGTGTTCTGGTCGTTTATTGTTATTTTCAATGACAGGGGATTAATCTACATTGTTTCAGCTTCAAACTGAATGCCTGGTCAAGACGCGAGTTGTCAGCATACGCCTTATCTTGCAACGGAAACGCACAGACCGATCGTCGCGAGCGAGACCAATTAATAGATCGAGAACACGACAATACATACAGAAGTTTTCCCAGTTATGCATCCAGGATAAGATTTTCGCGCGATACGGATAAAAATCAGCAGACTACAGTCTCGACATGCTGTACAAATGGTTTCTCGTCTTTACATTCATCTCTGTTCCTCTTTTCCCTTCCATTTCTGCCCGTTTTAACCGATTCAACAACAAAAGCCTACTTTCGTCGTTCACCAAATTTTCGCATATACATATACGCTCGTACACAGGAATATCGACGAAACGGTAGCAAAGGGTGAAACGATTGACACAATCTTCCAAACAATTCGAAACAAAAACAACAATAGTTGGTGCTAATATTTGTATTGTACGTATAACGATCGAAGTTGTTTCGCGTGTTGTCACCCCGTAAGAAGTTTAAAGCATCCTCGTGACCAGTCCTGCACTACGTTCGACAAGCAAATTCGTCTGAATTCTCTAAACCGTCCCCTTTACTTCGGGTGGTCGGTACAATTTCTGGAGGACCAGCACGGGAATACGTTTCTCCGCGAGATTCTTGGTCCCAGGAAGTTCCAAAGGTGCTTCAACGTTCACCACGGAATCCGGTCGTTCGGGTACAATCGACTGGTGTCCCTGGTCAAGCAGCTTCGTCGGGGGAACCGCTTTCTCGTTCAGATTCTCCGAGCCGGGTAGCTGCGAGTAGACCATCTCCGATTGTTTCTCTTGATTCGGATCGACCCAGGGCGTCGCTGGAATCGCCAGAGCCCCGCAGACTCCGAATACAAGCACGACGATCTGTAAATGATTCGTGAACGTTGAATGTACTCCTCCACGAAAACACAGAACCACCCCTCGCGAGATTATATAATAAGTATGGTAAGGTACATATATACCTTAACTCGCCTTACACGAACGTTCTTGCGTCGACGATTGCGTGTCACGTGCCAATCGTGCACGCAAAAGGCGTCAATGATAATCGAATTTCGCGCCACATTGGTCCCGTTCGTTCGTCGACGTTTGAACGTTCGTGTGTAGCCGGTTCTTACCTTGATCATGTTCGCTCCAAGAACCGCGATCGACTGATCCCCGATCGGATAGCTCGTCGCCGCTTTTATACGAACGTGTGTCTGTTACGCGTGCCACGGAGATGCAGCGATGAATACCATCGTTTTACGACGACCAACGAAAAGGAGGGATCGGGGGCAACGCCCGGGGGCAACGTTCGTCGCCGCGTCGATTCTTTTTTTTTCTTTCTTTCGATATCATAACGCCTCGCCATCGTGTATCGCCGATATCTCTGGGATCGGGGCAGGATTCTCGACGGAGATCGTTATTATTTATTGCGACGAAGTTCGCGTTAGGCGTGCCAAACACCACCCGTCGATACGGACACACATCGTTCGGTTCTTTGGCGGTAATCTGTTGACTGGAAAATGTGAAAAGGAAACGGAGAGGGGAGAGGGAGCGTTTCGTCCTGCGCCTGCTAGTGGACTCGTCAGTAAGGCTACCTAGCAGACCCTGCCTTAGACACGGGGATATACGATGGTCGGTTAAGGACGTATATATACGAACGAGGAAGGCTTCAGGTAGTTGCGGGAAAGGTGTCAACTAGGTAGACCTCTGATGGCGAATCTAGGAAGGAAGGTAGTGCCGCCGCAGTTCGTTTGCGCGGGGAGGGTAAAATCGGCGCCAAAGTCGCGGCGACCGTAAGAAATGCAAATATCTCTCTACCGAATACGTAAATATTATCGTAACGAGAGGCAGCTAAACGAACCGTTAGGCTCTTGGACGTGTAGGTACCCGCGGTTCGAGTCTATTTATCCAAAGAGTAGTTCTAGAACCAGAACGATATCGCCGATCGCGGAAATCGCGTTTGCCCTTTTTTGTACTTCGATAAAAAAAAAACGGACGCGAAACGCCAGGGGACCCGATTCGACGACTCGGATTCGTACAAACCGGCGACGATGTCGAATCTACGGGCGCCCACGCGGTTTCTTTTTTCGGACGAACCGGCTTTCGCCATTTACGGCGTACACACCGCGTACGATGATTCCACGGATCGCTGGATCTCCTCGGGACGACATATCCTGCGAAGAACATCGCCGATCGCGTCGAGAAACGAAGCCACGATGCGGTCATCGGAGTGCGTGACGTCATTTAACCCTCTTCCACTCGATTACCGGCTATTATAAGCGAGAGTCGTATACCCCGTAGACGAGTCACCACCGTGAAATTGACGTCACCCCGTCGTCTATGCACCTTGACTTTTTCCTCTGATTACGCGCGACAGGGACCCCCCGTTTCTTCCACCGTGTCGACCATAGGAAGCGGAAAATGCAATTGACGCGTCGCACGATCCGCGCTCTCTCTCTCTCTCTCTTTTTCTCCCCTCTCTGGCTCTCGGAATTATGTAAAAATAACGATTCTCTCTTTCTTCGGGTCATTATCCGTAGCTACCGTTAGAAATAATTGCGGCCGCCCACCTGATTCCTACATCGATCCGTTCGTTGTCGTCAACGATCGCACAATGGAACAGATGGGCATTCTAGGTGAAAACAAATCCTAGGTCATTTTATGTAATTTATATGACTCTTGAATAGCATGTTTAACTAAGGACTATACTAAATAATATACAAAATACGTACTTGTACGAATATTCTACATTACAGTTAAATGGCTACGTACGAATAATAGCGAAGATATTTGAATTTGAATGAAAATATTTTAATAATATATGAAATACGTGCTTGTACGAATATTCTACAATACAGTTATATGCCTACGTACGAATAATGGCGAAGATATTGCAATTCGAATGAAAATATTTTAATAATATATAAAATACGTGCTTGTACGAATATTCTACATTACAGTTAAATGCCTACCTACGAATAATAGCGAAGATATTTGAATTTGAATGAAAATATTTTAATAATATATAAAATACGTACTTGTACGAATATTCTACATTAAAGTTAAATGGCTACGTACGAATAATGGCGAAGATATTGCAATTCGAATGAAAATATTTTAATAATATATAAAATACGTGCTTGTACGAATATTCTACATTAAAGTTAAATGGCTACGTACGAATAATAGCGAAGATATTTGAATGAAATGTTTTAGGTACAGAGAAAACCGTAAGGGTATGTTGTTACCAGTTGGAATTTCTATGCATTACTATTGCATACCATGAATACCTTCTTACTAGCCTGGAGAATCATCTCCGAGTGCAAAGGAATCACAGAAAATATCTGTCGATCGACGTGATTTATTTCCACCTAGAATGCCTCAATCCGTTTCACAGTGGATCGTTACGGCGACAAACAATTTCAAACGCGACCTTTTCCGCGACTGAGGTCGCTTGCTCGCGATTCTCGACGGGCCCGATAACGATCAGTAGATACTCGTGCGTCAGTAACGACCGAATCCCAGACCGCACGAGGCGCGCGTGAAATCGGTTTCTTTCCGGGGTTGTCTACAAATTAAATCGTTCTGTTCACGAAAAATTATCCGCGATTTCGACACGCGTCTCACGCTCGCGTAGTTTCCCGTTTTCCCGTCCCTCTTGAAAAACAGAGAAGCCCGAAAATACACACGGTTTGACGTAAAACGGGAGTATCAAAGTAAGCAAGCAAAATCGACCTTACATCTGTTTCTTTTTCGCGTTCTGTACCACACGGAAAAGCTCGGTGTTGTAGCCCCCGTTGGTTGACTTCGTTCCTCGTGTACCGTGGACTTCGTATCTCGCGATTGCGAGAATAATTTACACGTTTCACGGGTGAGCTCTGATTCGAACGCCAACGGATTCCGTTAAACCAACGGGCGGTCCCCCGAATCTACACGATCTTTCGCAACTCCAATGAAAACAAAGAATCCAGCCCTTTTCTATTTTGAAAATTTTCCTTCCATCCCTGCTTCTCCCACCAGCTTGGTTCTGCCTCGAATTAAATGAACCGCAAAGGGCTTCCAGGACGATCTGCCCTCTCGTTCGACACGGTGGACGGTCTTCTGGACATCGATCAAATACTGGAGACCGACCCGTGGAAACAGATCGACGATTTCGTGCAGCATAACTTCATGCAGGACATCCTGAACGAGTTCGACGAGAAACTGACGCTCGACCCGAAACACGCGCCCCCAGGTAAGCATGCCGCGCGATTCCCTCGGGACGATTCTACTAATGGAATTTTTTCCTTTGGTGTTCCACGCGTTAGACGGCAAGAAAACCACGAAACAAGAGGGAGCGATGCAATCGTCGAAGGAGACTCGCGCGAAGAAGTTTGATAAATCGAAGCGGGAGAACTCGAAGGGAAATGATCATAAGGGTGGTAATACGGTGAATACGAGTGGAAGGACGAGGGAGAAAACAGAGAAATCGAGATATCGAAAACGAAAACTTTATAATGGAAATCACAATGTTACGAAATCACCCAGGAAATTACAAATTAAGAAGGACGCCTCGAATGTCATCGCAGACGCAAACACGGCTACGATGCTCTCCAACGGTGAGAATAAGGTCCTTGGAACGAACAACGAGACTTTGATCGTGGGAAAGGTGACCATCGGAACGGAAAGAATAGGCGAAACCACGATGGAAACATCACAGGACGATAACAGCCGTCTCTCGTTCGAAATGAGCACTCCTAGACACGACTCTCCGCGAATCTGTAAATCCGCGGAGAAAACAGAGACCGTTGCGAAGTCTGAGGAATCGGAGAAGAAACATTTTCCTACCAGTAACGAGTGCCCGAACGCGTCCAAGGTTCGCCCGAGGAACATTTTGGACAACAACCGTGCCGAGTTGAAGGATGAAAAGAATATAACGAACGAGTCATCGGCGAAATCGAAACACGTGGACAGGAAAAAGGAAAAGGGAAATGTTCAGAAAACTGATAAGGAAGAAAAAGGAATCAAAAACGGTGCGACTAGGCGATCGAAAGAGAGTAGAACGGCGTCGAAACACAGGAAATGCGAAAGTAAACCTCCGAAGAAGACAGGTAAAAACGCAGTCTATTTTAATCGGTCTGTAACGAAGTGAAAATTATGTATCGTGTTTTGTATGTATAATTCACAGCTCGGAAAATGAAGCTGAAACGAACGGAGAAGAAATCACAACGATACGAGAAGCAGGTGATACGAGGCATTGAAAAGTTCGGGAAGCGAATAGCGAACATGGCGACGAAAATCGGTTATTTGTCAGGTAGTTCCTCGAGTATTACGACGAATAAACGCGAGCGACGAATGCATTCCGTGTTTCTTTTTCAGGAGATGATTCCAGCTCAGACTCCGACGCATCCTCGTCCGATTGTTGTTGCAACTGTTCCGACTGTTATTCCTCCTCCGAATGCACCTGTTATGACTGTGATGTCTCCTTCGAGTCCGCTCGCAAGATTTGTTGCGACTCTTGCGACACCTTCGATTCCTCTTCCAGCAGTTGGTCCGACTTTTCCTCCTCCTTCGATTCCTCTTCCTGCCTTTGTTCCGGTTGTTGTTCCTGTTCCGATTCTTGCTCGTGCAGCTGCTGTTCTTACGACGACATCAGCGAGATCGACGAGTACTCGGAATTCACGTTGTGTTCGTCTTCGGATTACGACAATTGATCTTCCTCGAGGGCGTCTCGTTTCGCTCAACTTAACTTGTTACTTGAACTTGTTAAGGTACTTGTTACTTAAAAACTTAACTAGATTTTTAAGAACCCATAATATTTATACGCGCGTGTGACGCTGTGCGTTCATTTTTACATTGTTACAAGGTTTGATGGAAACTTAACGGAGAACTGTGAATTATTTATTGTATGGATGAATTGACGGAGTTGTGAATAAAGAAAGTACCCAGAGTCCCAAGAAGCTTTTCGACCATGATATTTCAAGCCCAAGCTTTTCTGTTCGTATTGTGTAACGTAGATGTGATATCAATGATAATACTGAAATAATTTTGAATTAGGAAGATCGAGGGAATCGTCAGGAATCCTCGGAATCAGGGACGATCGCTTCGTCGGTGGCTGGTGACGCCGATAAACGAAGTGTCCCCAAACGAAACGAAACAGTTACACGACAAATCGTTTTGCTTCCATCGCGACCGTTTTCTCTATTTATATCATCGATATCACCCGTCGTTGCACCAGTATGTACGGATCCATCCCTATGAACGTCGTATACTTGACACACATTTTAAAAATACTTTCTGGTATAAATTAAATTCCGTCTCCAGATATAAGCGTTATTTGGCCATTGTGTCCGTGGTCATCCTAACCCGGATCTCTCATCGATTCTGTACTCTGTGTACTATATACCTGACATTGAAAATTACCCTCTATTATCCGGACAGGATCATTGGACAGCGTTTGTAAAAATTAAGAGCCAGTTGAATATACCAATCCCAGCGAATTCAACGAGTGCGATTCAAATTCGTCGGAGAAATCCATGAAAAATATCTAAACAGAAATGAAGAGAGTTAAATAAGAACACTGCCAATGTATGCAAAAGTATCTACGTTGCCCGGATCACGTACACGCGTGAAAATCGTTAATTTATCTCCCGTCTCGATTCTTCGAGAATTCTCTCGGTGGAAAAACAAATTTCCCTTGGCTCGACACCAAGGAAACGCGAGTACAACCCCGACACGCCAAAACCTATTCGTTAGGTGGATTCTACGGTTTACTGTAAAATTTATCTCGAACATTTCCTGCGAAAACACCGGGTCGCGGACAACGGAGGAAAGATCGATCGTCCGTTGAACCCTGACGATTTTAAAGCTCGAGGAAAGAGAGAGAATTACGCGCGGGTGTTTGATCGTCGCCGGCGTAAGCGTACCCTTTTCCGATCTACGTCTGCGCGTCTCGGCCCGGTCTATAAAAGCGGCGCAGGGCGTCGCGACGGCTCCAGACGCGACACACGCGCATTGCTGAAAATGTGACATCACACGTCGCTGCTGCTTTGCTCGTTAACGTTCTCCCCCGGCTGACAATTTCGCCGATTTCTGCGTGCGAACGGGAACCACGAAACGCGACGAAATAAAAGGTTTTCTTGGGACAATTTACGCCGATCGTTGGTGATTACTTGTGCGTGCTCTGGTAATTCGTTGAACGGGAAAGACAGTGATTACAGTGAAAATGTAATTGAATGGCCACACCGGAACGGACGATCGATCGCGGAAACGTCACCGAAAGCTCCGACGAAATCATATACGGTGCATCGTTGGGATTCGTACGTTGATTCGTCTCGAGGTATCGTTCTCGTCGTCCAGAGGATATTATCGTCGTGGTGAGTTATCGAAACTTCTCTTCCAGGTATTACCAGTCGTTTCGACGAAAATCATGGTTTTAAACTCGGGTATTTGCGGTGGCTCGAAACGATCGAAACACAACTGAGATACATATTTGTGATTTCGATGTTAAGATACGTAGAAGCTGATGTCGAACCCTCGTGGGCTCTCTTCCTCTCCGTTTAACGGTCATCTCCTATCCCCAAGCCCGTATCTATTCATCTATTCATGCGTTTCGCTCTCCGGCCGGCCGCCCCTCTTCTAAAATAACTCGTTAAACGCGAAGACGCACGCGAAAATATTACCTCGCTAATCTCTAGCGGGTGTTAAAATAACCTCGGTAAACAGAAACGCTAAATATACCCGCGTCGAAAACTTGTCCGAGGCGAACCGGTATGAACTGGTAGGAGAAGCAACGAAAAGAAAAAAACAATCGTAGAATCAAATCCGCGTGAAATAACCCGGCGTGCACGCGCGCGCGCTTGTAGGCGGTCACGCAGGGGTAGGATTATTCCGAGCTTCGACCACGATCGATCGAATCGAAGGATTAAGGAGTGTAACGCGTGTGTCCTCGTAACGAATTATCATTCCCGTAATACATACGTGTCACCGTGAACAATTGATTCCTCGAACATGGAATGCTCGAATGATATTCGAAAAGAATAATGATATTGAAAATTGAACGATACGTCCAGATTCGTCCTTTCGGTCGTGTCATCGTTCCAACGGTTAAGATAAAACAGAGATATATACGAGAAAAAATAGGTTCACGCGCGTTGCCGCAACGAAATCCTTGCTATTGATCTAGGCAGCTCGAAAGGTCCTGGGTTCACCCGGCCAACCTCCGGCACATTCTCCTCCCACCACCCCCGTCACCGGGATCCCCGTGCCTGGTCCTTGCGTGTACGGACCGTCAATCGAATTCTCTTCGATTCGTCGCCTGATTCGCGGTATTCCTCGATATTCTTTCGATCGGTTCGATGAGAAAACAATCGGAGTAACAGCCAATCCTCTTCTCCGATTTTCACGTAGTATCGTATTAACCCTCTGCTGTACACCATTCGACGTACAGGCACGATAATTCTAGAGACATAAAACCGTCGAATCATCTTCCAACGAGCGTCTGCAGTTACTATTTTATCGACAGGAGTCGTTGAACTATCATCCTCGACGAATACGTCAGAGCAAGTTCGGTGGTATACCTTCTGAGAGTTCGCCATAATTTTCTCGAAAACGTTGAACGAGCCTCGGTTCGGCGATATACATACATACATACATTTCGATACGAATCGGGCGTGTTCAACGACTTCCCGCAGCTCGATGTTCTCCGCGATGACGTCCGAGGCGTTTCGCGGAACGTCGTCGCGGCGAATACACTCGCTTGGGACACCCGGGTGGGGGATGCGGTTAGGGGGGGATGGCAGATTCCAGGGTAGAAATAGGAGTAACGAGAAGGCGCGTGTATGCTTTTGATTACAGATGAAACTTCACGAGAAAAAAGAGTCCGGGATACACAGAGTGCAGGAGGTCCCGTTGGAGGAGCTGGAACTGTCCAAGGAGTACGAGGTGGAGAAAACTCTCGGCGAGGGTAGCTTCGCGAAAGTTTTACTGGCCACCCATCGTTCTACCCGTACCCGTATAGTATTGAAAGCCGTCCACCAGGAACTTACCACGGAGAAGGATTTCTTCCGGGAGTTTCATTATTCCTATCATCTTAGCCCGCATCCGAACATTCTGTGCTCGTACGCGGTCGCGTTCAAAGCGGACAAGTGTTTCGTGTTCGCGCAAGAGTACGCGCCTCACGGCGATCTCGCCGGTAACGTGAGGGCCGGTGGTCTGACCGAGGAGGCATGCAAGAGGATCGCCGGTCAGCTTGCATCCGCCCTCGAGTTCATACACTCGAAACAATTGGCCCATCGGGACATCAAGCTCGAGAACGTGTTGGTGTTCGCCCTGGACATGTCGAAGATCAAACTATGCGATTTCGGTTGCACCAGACGGGAGGGCACGCTGGTGAACAAAATACGTTGCACCTGGTTGTCGTTTCAACCGCCCGAGATCTACGAGATCGTTAAGAACGAGAGGTACGCGTGCAAGAGGAGCGCGGACTGCTGGCAATTCGGTATAGTGTTGTTCGTTTGCCTGACCGGAAATCCGCCTTGGCAGAGCGCCGATCTGATCCAGGATCCGGAGTACTCGGCCTTCCAACGATGGCTCAAGAGACGCACCACGAAAATCCCGCCGACCTTCAGACGATTCACGCCCAGGCTGTTGCGTTACTTCAGGCGAGTGTTCGAGCACAAACCCGAGAAAAGGCCGCACGTCACCGAGATCAACAAGTACCTGAAGGACTCGTGGTGCGTGAACAAGATCAGCCACAGCGCGACATCAACGTCGGTGGACGCGAGCGAGACGATCGCCCGCAGAGCTGACAGTTTGCTCTATCTCGACACGATTCTCGACGATCAACGGAACGTCGACGAGAACAAGAACAAGCTACGAAAGCTGCTGAACAGTTACGGCCTCGAGACCACGATCGACCAGAAAGTGGTCACGAAACGTATCTGGGAGTGGGTGATGCAGTGCGACTCGAACGTCGGCGAGCCAGCTTTGATCGGCAGCCTCGGAACGGAGGGCATGTGAGGGATGGTCCGAGCTTCCAGCGAACCATGCCTCAGAACCGATCGCCGGGAACGGAAGTACAGCTTCGGCGGATTCGACATCGTTCGCGACGACCTGTACGCCGCCGAGACCGTCGCCACCGGCTCGTCCTTGTTCCCGCGCGTCGAACAAACCTTCGAGACGAAATGGACGAACTCGAAACCTCGAACATCATTCCCGTAGGGTGACTGGCGTACCAACCGTCGCAAACCGCGTTATTCGCGTCCAAACCGCTGATCTACGGACGATTCGTTCGGACAACGAAATTACCGATTGTTACGTATACGATCGTTTCACGGTGAAGGCCATAAGTACACACGCGGGAGCAGCCTTAATTCTTCGACCACGCCGTCGATGCAAAAACGCTCGATAATTTTCCACTGGTAATATTCGACGATTCGGTTGCTAGGACGTATCTGTTCTTCTATACTTCCTTCCCACCTGTGTCTCCTGCCTTCCCTCTACTCCTCTCGACCTTCTCTACGAGCGGACCAATTATCGACGAACGTGTCCGCGGATGCACGCGTACACGTGCGCCTTTGCGCACTTACCCGATTTTTCGTACGTCTCCTCCTATACTCGCGGAACCTCCCTCGGCGGCGAGATGCGGCACAGCCGATCACCCTCCTCTTTCCATAACGAAAATACGAAACGAATGTGATAAAACGAATAAAAAAGAAACGCAAAAAGAAAAAAAGATAAATACAAACAAACAAAATATAAATATAATAAAGAAACTCGTTAAGACTGCGGCAAACACGAAATGCAACTACGATCGGTGTTTTCGGTGTCGACCATAGGGACAATAAACGACTGCGGATTTCCTAGTAATTTATTACGTTAAACCATCTAAGTCCGGAAGAATGAACAATTGGATTGTATGTGTGTATGTATGTGTGTAGCTGAACCTTGTATACCTCGCGGGTCCTTGCGTGGACGACCGAGAAAAAGAGCAAGGGAGAAAACGCCGCAAGATGACGAATCGTTCTCGAGGACTCGTGTAAACGGGGAACGGTGAATCGAATGTATGTATGTATTTAGGGGCACGTTGAACGAGATCGAGCGGACATTTAAGCGTTATTTAATACACGATTATAGAGTACGCATACGCATAGCGCGCATATATTCTTCTAGCGATTTATTAGTAGAACCGAACACCGTCTAAGAGGAACCGACGCGCAGAGTACAATTTTGGTAGAGTTAATTCGTCACGAAATTCGGCGCGGTTCGTGATACGTATGCGACCAGCCACTACACCGTTCTCTCCCCTCTGTCTTCGGCGTGTGTCGGTCCCAACGAGTTTCCTAGGATCCAGTGTGGATCATCACGTGCCGCGGTCGGAGAATTCTCGCGACAGCCGCGGCCGACAAACTGCAAAACAAAGACCAAGGGGTTAGAAACCGTGCAGCAAAAAACGTACGCGCCGCGAGCCTCCTTAACGCGAAGCAATGTTTTCTATATAAACATTATCGAAATAAACGTTGCTATTACATGGAATCGCGATGCTTCGTACCATCCCCGTTTCCACCTATCCCCCTTGCATTCGTTTATTCCTTCCAGCTGACTCGGACATTCGCCGAGCGATTTACAGACGTGTACCAAGAACGACGGAAAAATCTGAAAGCCGTGTGGTCGACCTATTTCGATGATTCTTCAAGGAATCGTTCCGATTCGTGGTCTCGTACATTTAGCCGTGGACGCAGCGGAGTAAACACGATGCGTCGTTTCTTTTCATCCAATTTATCGCTGAATCTCGACCGTGGAAATGTGCAACTGTGAGAGAATCGTCGACGAATACACTCGACCCCTGACCTTTTCTATTTCTCTCGACTCTCGTGTTCGATATAGCTGACTCACTCGTCCCGACCTGCCCTTCACCTGCGAGAAGACACCCCCCAATTCAACGGACGTCAAGCATCGCGGGGAGCCACCCTTGAAACTGTTATACGTATGTAAAACTACGAGCGGAGAAGGCCGTTTCCGACGAATCGACCGTCGACAACGCCAAACAAACGCGAATAAAACACGCTCCTTTTTATCGTGTATTCTCAGCTCGATACTCGCCCACTTTCTACGTAATCTAATCGTCGAATGTATTAACGAGGTTGTCGAGATCGTTCCGCAGAAAATCGCGTCGCAACGGCTTTCCCCGAAATCGTCTTCGGCCGACATTTCGCGGTTGTGGAAATTTCCACAGTGCAGAATTGTGAAATTTATCGGCCCTGTGATTCGAAAGAGAAACGGGACGATTCACGGAATCGTCGAGGGACGCTTGTGCTCTCGAAATATCGGGCATTCGAGCGAAGATCGCGATGAGGCTTCCTTCTAAATATCGAGCCTATCGTCGACGATTCGTTTCATCGTCGGCGAATAGGTACCGCAATTGACTTACGAGGAACACGAACGTCAAAATACGGGAACGCGTGCGCGACAACCACACGCCGTCGCTTTTATCGTATCTGGATACAATGCGTATTTCGGGCTTGCGCGTTTCTATTTCCATTCGATGCCCGGTTATTCTTAGTCGTCGCTTCGACACGCTAAACGCTCGTCGCGCGATCGTGTACGCACAGGGGAAACGTGCTACACCCAGCAAACGACTGGATTTCATTACGTATGCACCGACGGACGAATCTTGACGTTCGAATAAGATAGAGAAAACGTGACTTGACGTAAAATGTATATAGCGGTGACAACGACGTGATTTCACGAGACCCTTGAAATTGCATATCGAGGGGTTGGAAAGAAGGAAGGAAGTCCAGGCAGGGGATCGTCATCGATCCTTCGGTCCAACGGCCCGACATCTATTTTCATACGGGCTGATCTATTTATATACACGGACAATGTTCCACTTCTGTCAACCGATGAGAACACCGACAAACCCATGCTCCCGCTCGCGTTTGCATCTCGATGCATCGGCGACGATATGTATGTATGTATTTTGAATGCGCATCGTCGAAACACGTCTCCTCGCCTTGTTTACCAGCCGAGTCCAGCCGGGGTTGCGATCCTATCGACGTTCGTTTCGCCAACAGCTGCCGCTGCCGCCGCTGCGATTTTACGTTTCACGTAAAATACAAACACTTCGCAAGTATATCTCCTCGGAATCTGTCGCACGCTTTCCGTGTAAGCTGCTGCGAAACAGGTTTGCTTAGGAGCCTTTCCTGGTCATCGTGGCGACCGGTTATGCAAAACGATGCGAGCGGTCCTTAGCCGTGAGTTACTCACCCTGCTGAAGTTTTACACGGTCACTGTCCCCTGGATCTTGTCTCTGGTTCTGTCTACTCGCGCCTCGTATTGACAATCGTTGGTGTGTACGCACAGATGAGGATAAAGAGATAGAGAGTCGTCATATATGGTCCACGTATAGTATCGATACTTATTGTTGTATCTTTTATATAAAAGAGAATACCCTGGAATACGAATGGCGTAGCTTTCGAATCAATGTCAGTTGCATAAATAAACTTGTACGATTGCAACGAAAAGTAATAAATACGTCCGAAATTCTCGATTCGAGACGCATGCGTGTACGTATCGGCTAAGAAAAAATGAAACCGCTCACTCAGCTAATCACATATTCCACATAATGCCTTTGGTAGGGTTGAAGGGCAGACGTCTTCGATTTCCCTCCGATTCGGATTCAATCGGATACTCGAGCAGTTTCCACAACTTGTCGAATTCTTCGACGAAAGGTAAGACGATAGAGGGCTGATTGGTCACGAGTATGTTCTCGAAATTACCGAAGAACGCGGACATTGTCCAGTTGACGCTGCCGGTGATCACTATCTCGTTGTCCACGATCACGAACTTGTGATGCATCAGGACATCAAGCTCTTGCATTCTGACCGCGATGCCTGAAAAACACTCAAATTGATTCGAATCACATGCCGGTTTATATAAATAATCGAACAACCGCTGTCGCGATTCAAAACAATAATCCAGAACGTACCGTTCCCGTGAAAGAGAGCCGTTTGCGACGAATCGGTGCAAGCCATCCGTCGATCCAGTATTATATTCACGATTACGCCACGTTTGTGCGCGTTTACGATTGCTTTCGATAGTAATTGACAAGTCAGCACGTACATGCACACATCTAATCTCTTCTCGGCGCGATTTATGTAACCTTCCATTCGTCTACAAAGTTAATACGTTGTTAATCGAATTTTTCCTTCAAGATCGTCAATATCAAGGCATGTATAACAGTATCATTCACGTGTTACATTCGAGTTCACAAGGATTGGCCGATTAAAGATACCTTCGAATGCTATTTTAGCGCCTGCCGGACGTGCTCAAGATACGCGTATCTGTTAAGATTCTTGTATACGCTACGGAACTACCAAGTAAATATAAATAACAAGCAATCGAGTGAATGAAGAGGAAGTCAGCATCCCCGCAATTCAAAACTCGTCAACTCGATTGTTATAGTTAAAGAAGTTATCAAGCAATCGAACTAACTCGAGTTTGATTACCGGCTCAAAAATACATCATTGAGAAACAATTATCCTTGATTTTACCTTAAATATTGGACCGGACAGGTACTTTTCAGGCAAGCCTCATTGTTGTTCACGTGAGCACGACAAAAACTGGACTCTCTGGAGAAGAACATGACCTCCGAGATGTTTTGTTCCGGCTTTTTCGCGATTGTTAGCGGAATCCTACCGTTCCGGGGATTGTAAAGCCTTTTGTACAGTTGCCAAACAACTTCCGTGGCGAATACCATCCCACCTATTAGGAAAAGTATTTTGCTTCCCATTCTTAGGACAGAATACCTGAAAATGGAATAACAATGGAAACTTACGAAAATGATTATTTGTGGCATAATAAACAAAAAGTTTACAATAACATTTGTATGAATACGGCTAAGTTACTGAGAAAAATGATTTTTTAGATGTATATATGTTAACGTGCCTGTTCATTACTTGTCATTTCTACTTATTGTAGGAACGAAATCACGTATGTTAAATAAACTATCGAAAGCAAGGGATTATTACTACTGTGTAGATTATGGGAAACAAAACTGTACGCAAAAATATTATAACCTATATAGTTTTACCTTGATATTTTAACAGACAATATATTCAACAGGGAACATTATAACGAGAAGAATAAAATACACCGTGTTAAAAGTCATACCTTTTGGTACGCTAGAGTATTCAAATTTTCCCCCGAAAAAGAAAAACGAATGGTGTAAACACAATACTTCCGGCAACTTTGCCGCCATTTTATGACAATTCACCGATCTGAAGTTGCCTTCACGTACTGACAATATCTTAGAAGAGGTAAAATGTCAACCGAAATTACTAAGCTTCGTAAAGTAGAAACGTTGAACAGCCTGATATATTCACAGTTTTTATAATATATTATGCCAACGATCGAAATCAGAACTCTTCCCAGCTCTTCCTGTGAATTACGATGCTCTCCAAAGTAGCGTCAACACCGGAATAACATAGCTCGGGGTCGTTACAAGAAGAGAAGAAGACGTTGGCCCTCCGAACGTGGGGCAGAAAAAAGCATTGGATGATAGATCTATTCTATACCTAGTCGATGATCAAACATTTTTTTATGGGTTTCCTTTTTTTAAATTTAAGAAAGCGCGGGAAACTGCGGATCGCTGAAGTGTCGTCATCTGGCGAACTTTTAGAACAACTTCATAATCCCCTGATATGTACACGCAAAGCATAAGGACTGAGCAGGTATTAGACAAAGATAGAAGTATAGTTATACTAGTTGTAGAAACAAGACGAAAAGATAGCCAAATTCTAACCTCTTTTAGGAATTTATAAACTTACATAGTTTTCTCATAACATACAGAGAAAAAATGCTTACTCCCAATACTAAAAATAAAATGGAATCGTGTACGTGACTGCACATTACTCGTATCGGGATTTACTGTTGACAAAATTTAACTTTAAACCCGTGATACGTATATAAACAAAAATGCCTCTATTTTCAAACAAGTTTTCTCCGAAAAAAACGCCTACAAGGAAGGCTGGAGTTTTTTTGGTAAACAAAGATTTAAGTCCACAGCGTATTGAAAAAGAACTGGGCCCAAATGTGGGTCCTATACGTTTGAAATTAGGAGATCAGGAAGCGATCTTTGAGTCTGGTTTGTGGATTCCAGGTAAAATACATATTAATATACAATATTTACGCAATAGCAGTCTTTTTACTGCAAAGCCATGAGTGCATGATGTATTTTTATATTGTATATAGAATCTGGCAAGGTTGGTGGAACCTACAAAGAGAATGAGAAACTCAAGAAGGAAGTAAAAAGATTAGAAGAAGAAAATAATTTATTAAAGTTAAAATTTGATATACTTCTCGATATGGTCAGTAATTTTGTCTGTTTGTTTTAATTACGAAACGTTTAAAATATACTTAACATTTCAGTTGACACAGACAACAGCAGAATTTAATTCACAAAGGGAAGAATTGGATAGACTACAAAGAAATTCTTTGTATCGCAAAGGTTTTGAATCTTGAAATATTTTTTTAATTGCCTATGCTCTCAAATTTGAAAAAAGGAATGTTAATACGATTAGCTTATTATAAATATATAAATACTCACACATATATATGTATATATAAAATATAATTATTAGTTTAAGGCACATAATGAATTCCTAAAATTGATATTAATGAATCACAGAAAGCATAAAAAATAATAAGTTTTAGAATTATTATGCATACATATTTACAATTTTATCAATACATGTATGTTACTCTTTTTTTAATCCATTGCATTTTCAGGACAAGTTTTTCTTGTATGCCCTAAGAATGTAAATAATAATTATAATGTAATAATCCTAACAATGTAAATAATAATCCTTGTACCAAAACATGTTAGTGAGATACAAACCTTCTATCCCACAAATTCCGCATTTTCTCTTACCACCGCTAGCTCGAGGCTTTCTCTGCGTCTTGTTACCCTCTTTACTCCCAGAGGTGTTACTATTTCTGTTTACAAATTTGTTATGATTTTGAACGTTTTCATCCCCCCATTGAAAGAATTTACAAGACTCATTCATTGGTTTAGGACACGAATAAAATAGCCGACCTTTATTAGGGCCATCTTTTTGAACAGTTCGCCTACGACACATTCAAAAAATGTAATTAAAGTGTTGAAAGCATTTGAGGATGCTTAATGAACATTTACTCACTCTACTGCCAATTGATTACAGTGACATGTACCATTCCATGATAACGATGTACTGGAAGTGCTTGGTACCACACTGGTATTTGCATTCATTGTATGATTTGTATTCCTATTTATGTTGTTTGGCGTTTCCTGTGGATCATCTGATGCCCACAAAAAGAAATCACAACCAGTACCCTGAGGCTTGGCACATTTATAAAATAATCTTCCTGAAATATATGTTATAAAACGTCAATAAAATTGAGTTACAGTTGAATAAAAATTTAATTTTAATAGCTGAGATATCTATTTTATGTACCCTGATTCGGCCCTTCTTTCCTTACGGTTAACTGAATCGCATTCTCGTGACATCTACACATAATAACAGCATTATTATCGATGTCACCCCATGTTCTGTTTTGTTCCATTTGTGATAATTTTGAATCGTTGCTCGAAGGATTGAAATTACTTGTATCAATCCACGTATCATCGTTCTTCGAGTCATTTCGTTTCTTAACACTTCTATTACTATCTCTTGGTCTATTTGTATTACGTTGATTATTGTTCTGAGTTCTAACGAGCCCTACAGATGTGTTATTGTCAGATAAATTTGTCCTACTTCCACCTCGAGATGGTTGAGTTCCACTGTATCTTTCTGAGGCTGTATTTGAATCAACAGCTGATCTTGATCCACTGAATGTACTACTGTAACCGCTGTCATTTGTTTGTCTGACAATTTTAATACTATTATTTCTTATATTTAGTACTTCGTTAAACGAAGGATCGCAGCCACCGATGCAAGTGGAATAAGTAGTACCATACATTGGAAGAACATTCCTGGCTAACTTGAATTCCAATTTACGCATGTTTCCTGCACACTGAAAACAATGAACTAGTTTACATTATTTGTCTTCCAGGTAATATACAATACGTTATACGTACTTGCGAGCAAGTTTCATCCAACACTGCGACGGATTCTACATATTGAGGGAACCAAACTGCATTATTACACTCCGGATATCCCATGCAACCGATATATTTTCCCATAGCTTGTCTTCTATCTTTGAGTGTCATGTTTGAACCACATCTCGGACACTTGAAGATGGAAATTTCTATGGGTGGATTGCTAATTTGTATCTCTTGCGTTTCTGTTGGTCGTTCATCTAGATAATCCGCTAAAGCGCTATCGATTAAATTGGCACGTTCCAATGATACTTGAAATACTTCACGATATTTATTTATCTGACTTTGTAAGACGTCCTTTGGATCCTTTCGCCGCTCACATATTCTGTACGGATAAAGGTCACATCGGAATTAATTTTGAAAACTTAAAAATTGTTTAAAATTATTAACCAAATTATAGGAATTGACATACAATTTAAGATCTTTTTCTAATTCAGCTCTTAAGTTCGGTTTCGACATTTGAAATCCCATACTATCGTAACCCAATACCAATCCAATTCCAAGTTTTCCCGGCATTAAATGTTTTCCATCCATTAACCCGACATATTGACGTGCTTTTATCGTATCTATGTGATCAGCATGTGTAGCATCAGTACCGATACCGAACTTGTCCATCAAGCTAATCAAATCAGCTTCAGTTAATAATTGCGGTGGAGACGTTTCTTCTTGTACCATATCTATGCTAGTGGGTTGAAAGACCTGTCCTCTTTGATATGTATGAATTTCCTTATTACTCCATTTTTCATATATGTATACATTCAAATAATTCCGTTCAATAATTTGTAAACCGTTTGCAATAAATTTTTCTCCATTGATATCAATCTCCACTGTTGTTTCTTGCCCTAATGCATTCTTCGATAAACAAGCCAAAAAGTGCCGCACCACGAATTCATAAACCTTAGCATCATTACCTGTTATAATGTGATTAATTAAAAGAAGATAAAGGATTATTTTAATGCGATAATGCGCCTAAGCGGCAAACGCACCTTGTAAATTATTGCTACATTTCAGTGGATGTATTGGAGGATGTGCTTGATCGCTTTTTTTTCCTTGCCTAGGGCTTAATCCGTCGTCTAGTAGTTGCTGAGCGAATCCACCCCAAGCTGGATTATTTACTTGTTGATTTACAAAGGGAACAAGATTTAATTCTTTTGGAAATATATTAGTCTCTGTACGTGGATAACTGATAAATCCTTGAGTATATAGTTTCTCTGCTATTTTCATTGTCTCTTTGGCACTTAAATGAAGTTTGCGAGAACCTTGTTTTTCCAGTTCCTAAATGTATTTAATTGAAAAAAAAATAAATTATGCCATTTCCTTTTCATTTGAATCAATACTTTATTACTTACAACTGTGTCCAATGGTAGTGGTCGCCACTTACTCTTAGGTTTACTTGTAATATCTTTTACAGTGGCATTAGGTTGTTCTAGGCATGTATCTAGCAAAACTTCGCAAGGTAATTTTTCAAACAACTTTCCTCTTGCCCATCTAAACTCCACAGAAAGTTGATCCCGAACATCCATAACTTTTATTTTCCAGTACGGCTCTGGCTTAAATCTTTCTATAGCTAAGAATCTTTCAACTACAAATCCTAGTGTCGGAAACTGACAGCTGCCATAACTGATCAGCATCTGAGCAAGAGTTCTTGGAAATACTTTTTGAAGTCTTAATGTTTGAAACCTAGTAAATGCAGCACCTACAACCATTATCTCTGTAACCATTATCTCTATTATACTGAAAGTTTGTCATTATCTCACCTATCCTTAAGTCCAATTCACTTCGTACATCAACAGCATCACTAATTGCTTTGTCTGGTTCACATAAATTCTGCAAAGCTCTACTTACAGATGCTTGGGTAATTTCAGAAAACTTTGCTCTGTGAGAGAGATACATTTATTAGTGAATAAAACAAACCACACTTATTTGTGTGTTTATTTCATTACCTGTATATACGAATATTTGGTTTAACTGCTTGACAGACTAGAATAATTTCAAACCCAATATTTTCCCCTTCACGATCACAATCTGTCCAAATAATTAATGCATTGCATTTCTTTACTTCTCTTTCTAGAGTTTGTTTAATCTTAATGTAATTTTCCTCTATGCATTGCTTTGTCAAAGGTGCATCAAATAAACTTAGTGGATGACAACCCTGCCACTTACAATACGCTCCTGTAAATGTATAATTCAACAGGTGACCAGAGACAGAAGTCATGATCATATCACAATTCTGATTCCACAGATTGGAGCTAAATTCGTAAATTTTATTATATGGAGATAATCCTTCCCTCTGTAAAATAAAAAAGGTATTAGATATCATTTTATAAGAATTCCGTCTTGTTTTAACAGGAATGAATTTTAATTACCCGCCTAGAGTTACCGCGACACAAATAGCCTGCGATATTCTTCGCAGCATCATTTTTTTCCGCTACATTAAGGACTTTCATGACTGTTTCAGAAATTGTATATTTTGCACGGACAAAATACTGCGTTGATTCATAGAAATTTAATAGTACAACATTGAGTCGTGTCGTGGAAATGACGAACATATTAAAAGTAATACATACATCATAACTGCCCCGAATTATTATAGGGTTATAAATTGCATTTCACATTTCTGGGAAACACTATTCCGTTAAACTATGTAGCATACGTACATTTTTTCGTCATAATATATTCACTAATTATATTAAACAACATTATTTTACATTTTCTGTTCCAAACATTTCAAATACCACTCATATAATACAATGGAGTTGATTTCAGTTGTCGTCTAACATTCCTCGACTACTTCAGTTGTATCGAACAATGATTGAAACTTAATTTTACAATATCCCTGCATATCCCTATCAGAAAATAAAATTTATCCACGATTTAATAATCATCGATGACAGTATTAAAATCTTCATGGAAGTTTCTTTTTATTGAAAAATGTCATTTGGAGTGGCTAATAATGTCACGACTCATGTTCTTCGCGAGAATAACAGTAACTTTTTTATCGCAAATGTTGCAACTATGTTAACATAAGAAAGAAAGAGCTGTAAGTAGCAGTAGACATTTTCAATATTTTGCATGATAGTTTTGGATTTCATGCGTTTCTGTCAAGGCACAGGTGAGTAAACGATTCTTCATATCAAATAAATGTCGATGAGTACGTAGAATAAGTCTATCTTTTGTTAACTAAGTACTGTACGTACGCAGTATTAAATATTGTCTTCTTTACTTTCGACTGAATCTTCTATTTTTCTCCGTGATAATTACTAACATTCGATATGGTTTTTAATATTGAACATTTGACAATTTTATGATTACCTATGTCAATGAAGGATTTATTCTGATCTATCACGTCTTTTTTCATCATAGTTAACATTCATCGTTTGTATTTCAGTATTTTATTTCACATAGACTGCGGATGTTTATGCAAAATCCTATTTTAATAGCCAATTACAAAAAGGCCTGAATCAAGGAAAAGTATATTTCGTTTGTTGAAGGAATTTTTTGTATACCAAGAAGAACAGAATAGAAACTGTAGAAATTGTGGTTAATGTTTTCATTTCAGTATGTTTTGAGTGTTCATATTTGATATAAATGCATAACATCCATAGTCTAGTTCTATTGTAAACATTTACAATAGATATATAGGGTGTTCCATGTAAGTGTCTCCACCAAATTTCAAAACTTTCCCTGAGCTTTACAAAAAATTGTTTGGATAAAAGTTAAATTATAATTAAGTATGCATAACTGTCACAAATCACAGTTTCTTTATCTGCATTTTTTCGAAAATATGGATGTTTCCTCTTGTTTTCTAAACTAAACTGTAGCATGTACTAAATATTCTTTATTAGAACGAATCATAACAAATCAAACAATTATGCATACATACGTTATAAGAAAAATACAACGTATAAAAAGCCAATATAGATTGTGCAACGTCACGGTGTATCAACGCGTTCGCTTTAGAAATAATCGGACACTCGAAGTTGCAAGGGTACCGCGACATTATAGGTACAATTTCTATTATATTTTTATTTTTAACTTTTGTCCAACATCAATTTTTGTAAAGTTCACAGGAAGTCCGGAAATTTCATAGCGACACTTACGCGGGACACCCGGTATATCTTATCTTTGAATCCTATTTTGTAATAATTGTTTTTATTTCAGCAACATAGTTACTCTAATCAGTTATTTAAAAATACACCAAACATGATGGAGGACATGTTAGGTGCAGATATCTGCAGGGTATGTCGGTCTGAAGGTCTTGCAGACAGACCGTTGTTTCATCCATGCATTTGCACAGGCAGTATTAAGTGGATTCATCAAGAATGCTTAGTACAATGGATGCGTTACTCGCGCAAAGAATATTGTGAACTTTGTGGATATCGTTTTTCATTTACACCAATCTATAGTCCTGACATGCCACGCCGTTTACCATTAAGAGATGTTATTGGTGGATTATTCTCAAACATTGTCACAGCTGTCAAATATTGGCTACATTATAGTTTGGTTACAATTGCGTGGCTTGGTGTTGTTCCATTAACTGCTTGCCGAACTTATAGAGCTTTATTTAGTGGACCCCTAGATATGGTTCGAGTGAGTATATCATCATAAATGGGAAATATATCATAATTGAATGACATTACAACAGAAAAAGCATCATGGTATACTTTCTTACAGATAATGTCATTACCAATGGATATGTTGTCCGCAGAAAATATGTCTTCGGATGTATTTCATGGCTGCTTTGTAGTTACTTGTACACTATTTGCATTTATTGGTTTGGTATGGTTGAGAGAACAGATTTTACATGCTGGTGGTCCTGATTGGCTTGAAAGAGACAATGTACAGTTACCTCCAGTTGATAATCCACCACATGTGGATGTTCCTGCACAGCAACTTCAAGAGCAAATAGCTCTTCAGCAACCGGAAATTCAAGATAACAATAACGTTCCACCTTTTGTTGATGAACCTCCTGCTCTGTTAGCAAATCCAAACAATGACGATTCTGGAAATGCAGAAGGACATAGAATAGAGGATAATAATTTAGTGGATAATCAGAGGATAGATAGAACCGAAGGGATGGCCAGAGATATTGAACCACAATTAGCTGTTAGAAATGGAGAACAACAAGTAGATCAACCTCCAAGAGACTTGGAACCGCCTGTAGCTCCCAGAGACATAGAACCCTTGATACCTCCTAGAGACATGGAGGCACCTGTGCATCCTAGAGACATTGAACAACCAGTACCTCCTAGGGAGGAGTTGAGGATAGATGGTGAACAAGAAAATGCAAGAGCTGGCGAGGGTTGGAGAGATCAAGTTCAAGGTCAAGCACAAGAAGAAGCCAATTGGAATCCAATGGAATGGGACAGACCTGCAGAAGAGTTGACTTGGGAACGCCTTTTAGGTTTAGACGGTTCTTTAGTTTTCCTTGAACATGTGTTCTGGGTTGTCTCTCTGAATACTCTATTTATCATGGTACTTATTCATGCTTAAATTGAATAGAATATTTTAACAATATGTATTTTCATGAATTGAAATGACTCATTTTCTTTTTCAGGTGTTTGCTTTCTGTCCTTATCATATCGGTAGTTTTGCAATAGCGGGATTAGGATTACAAGAATATGCAGCAGCATCACATTTCGAGGGATTAGTAACTACATTGTGTGGTTACTGTGTGATTGGAGTCTGTTTGGTGGTTCTTCATACACTCGCAGCACTGTTAGGTTTTCAACGTTCTCAGCGTATACTAGGTTTATGTTATGTTATAGTCAAAGTTTCTTTGCTATCCGTTGTTGAGATAGGTGTACTTCCTTTGGTCTGCGGCTGGTGGTTAGATATTTGTTCGTTAGCAATGTTTGACGCTACCCTTAGAGATAGAGAATCCTCTTTCAGACTAGCTCCTGGCACTTCAATGTTTATTCACTGGCTAGTAGGAATGATTTACATATATTACTTTGCTTCGTTTATTCTATTGTTACGGGAAGTGTTGCGGCCAGGTGTACTATGGTTCTTGAGAAACCTAAATGATCCCGATTTCTCTCCTATCCAAGAAATGATACATCTTCCAATTTTAAGACACGTAAAAAGACTCGTGGGATCCGCAGTTATATTTGGAACAGCCATCTTATTAATGATATGGCTGCCAGTAAAACTTTTAAAATGGGCATGGCCAGGATTTTTACCGTACACAGTGACTGTTCAAAGTGAAGCCCAGGTAAGCGTAATCGAAACAATAATTTCCTTCCGATAATCTTCTGGTCATTACTGTAATTTGTTAATTTGTTTGTACCTTAGGTCAGCGAATTTTCATTAGAACTATTGCTGCTGCAAGTTATTCTTCCCGCATTACTGGAGCAAACTCATACACGCACATGGTTAAAAGGTCTCATCAGAGGCTGGTGTCGTGTAGTAGCCTGGATGTTAGATCTTCAGTCGTATCTTCTAAGAGATCAGACAGAGGATCCAGGACCAGCGATGATTGTAGAGCCGCAACACCCTGATTTGGGTGCTGCGCATCAAGCATTACTACAAAGAGATGGACCAACAACATTTCAACCATACATCAGACCACGCTGGTTCCCCGCTCGGCTGGTTGGTCTTTTGTTTTGCGTATGCGTTTCTCTCGTTATCGCCAGCTTGATTGCAATGACTCTTCCCGTTTGGCTTGGACGCAGAGTAATGGCATTGTGGATGGTTGGAGCTCCTGCTCCGTCCCCACCAGTATTACCGCCTACTTTAAGTGGATCTGGTAAGATGTCTTTCAAGCATAAAACATTTCGATTTCTTTGTTTTCTATTGTAATGGGTATTATATTCTTCTTGAATTTTTATAGAAACAAATGAAGCAGTAGTTGCATTATCTGGACGTGTACACGAAGTGTACACTGTCGCTTGTGGAACATATGTATGTTGGGCCGCTGCAAGAGGATTAGCTCTAGCATTATCTTGGCTACCACGTGGACGAAGAGCTGTATTGGAAAGAGTCAAGCATTGGGCGATCATAGGTGTTAAGGCGTCAGTTGCATTTTTCCTACTTATTGGTCTAATACCGCTATTGTTTGGTCTTCTTCTCGAATTAGTTGTCGTAGTACCATTGCGTGTACCGCTACATCAGAATCCAATATTGTTCATCTGGCAAGATTGGGCGTTAGGTGTGTTGTATACAAAAATAGCAACAGCTATTACGCTGATGGGACCGGATTGGAGAATTCGCATGGCAATCGAACGGGCATACAATGACGGCATTAGAGAAATAGATTTAAAATTCATTGTGACGGATTTGGCAGCACCAGTAATATGTTGCTTCGGTCTTGCTTTAGCAGTTCCGTACGCCGTGGCCTACGGAATAGTCCCACTTTTAATTACGAATCTGCAAATACAAATTTTGATCGCCAGACTTTTTTATCCTTTTCTTCTGTTGGTGAACTTTGTGTGCATTGTTATATATTTCCAAATTCGACAATTTAAGAAGCTTTACGAACATATAAAAAATGATAAATACCTTGTGGGACAGAGACTAGTGAATTATGAACATCGGAATAAATCTCAGTCACAACAACAGCAGTCACAAGCGTCAAGCTAAAGCTGCTGGTATAATTCTTTTTCAGTGGTGATATAAGATTAATGAAAATTTATCTAACATAATTCTTTATTGCATATAAATATTAACCGACAACTTATGTTGATTAGGCTTTCATCTTTCCTATATTAATTCATCACTGTAGACGATACTGAAGCAATTAAAAAGACTGTTTGTCAATGTATTGCTTTACCATCTGATACATTGCAGATTGCCAATATTTTTTTATCTTAATTGCAAAAACAAATCATTTCAAATAAAAAAAAACACGTCGGGCGTTGACAAACGAATATGATTTGAAGAACATAAAACTTTTAACGTCATCTATTCACGATTGATCAAACTAATCATTTGTTAAATAGGATATGGATTAAGGTTTTCAATTTTAGAAATACAGTGTACAAAGTTTAATTGAACTCTAATCAGTTTCTTAGAAAATAGAGTTTCGGGTAAGAAATATTATGAAAGTATAGTGACATTTTAATTGAAAAGTTGTTAGAAACAAAGTAACGCAATCATATTTTATTGTACAAAATTAAGGTTTGAAAACGATTTAAATAAAATTAGAAGATATCAATTACTTTGATGGAAATAAAGAAAGGTATATTTCCTGAAAATAGTGTTGCCTTGTTTTTTTTTTGTACGTAAAGTATTATACATCATTGGACATTGAATGTTCACAATAATTTTCAATTTTTATGAATCTTATTTTGCAGTTAGAAACACAATACGTGTAAAACAAATACGTTGTATACATGTCTGTGTAACAACAAGAAATTCAAAAATTTTCAATTTAGTAAGTGAACACTTTTTTTTACATAAAAATACAGGTGTCAATAAAAAGTTTGAGTTAAATAGTCCATATATATTCATATAACATATGTGGATCATATATGTATATAGATATACATATATTTTACATATTGTATGCATAATTTTATGTACAAAGTTAGATATAAGTAAGAACTATTTATTTGTATACCAATCCTACACAAATTAACGAAATTATATGATCATTAAAGATGTAAAAATGTTTTCGCAATGTACTTTAAAACATTCTAGGAATAAAAAAAATCCTCGTAAAAAATGTAGTTCATTCATTACATGTCAGTTGGTTCAGTGCATTAGCAATTACGTTAAAACAATGATTTGTAAACATTTCCATACAACATAAGGAGCATTTAAATTGTTTCACAAAAATATGTGTACATGATCCAAAATGTTATTCGTACATCAAAAAAAAAATATATATATATATATATATATGATGTTGCTATAGCATTTTCAAAATAAGCGTTTATAATGTAAATATGTTATTTTTCTTGTACCTCTACCGCCTGATATGATGGTACAGGGGTTCCCATTAGCCGAAAGGAATCAGGATGTTTTTCAATTCTCAAATATAATAAAGTAAAAATATTGATTACCTGAAACGTACCGAATACGTTAACACTTCAAACAATTTGTTTTATCTTTGTTACATTAAGGTTTCACTGCATCATTTATTACCTGAGTGACAGCAGCATGTTGATTCCATCTAATACTTAAATTTGGAACCGTACATTCCGTAGAATATTCAACTTTTGCTACATCTTTTAAATTTTCCAAATGAATCCTTAATTTTATGCCCATTTGACACAGTATTACATCCATATTTGTTTCTTTTACGTCCGTTACAATACCCATGGTAACAAAAGGACCATTTAAATTTACTAAATAAGTAAGGTATAATTCACTACTTTGCTCCTGAGCCAGTTTCGCGTTGTACTTTTTCAAATTACAATTTGCCGCTATTCTGTAATGAAAAACACAATATAAATATATGTTCTTATAGATTGTCATTATGATAGACCACGCATTGTTTGTATGAATTAACTTACTTCATACATAGTTGTTCTGACCATTCTTTCGGCAGAGCCTCGTTTTTTATAATAGAATGAAGTAATCGATGCACCACGCAATCGGCGTATCGTCTAATGGGAGAAGTAAAATGCGTATAAAAATCTACATTTAAGGCGTAATGTCTCAGTTCGTTCTCTGTTTTAAAGATTGACGAACAGTTGTAAGTCGCGCGCTGAAAATATAAATTTCATAAGTTATTACAATAGTCAAATGTACATAATAATAATGAAGCAAAAAAACCATACAGTCATAGCTTTAGCACAAAGATTGTTGATAACCATCATCCTATACTTCATCGTGGCTTTGGAGTCATTAGATTCTGATTCTAAGTCTTCTTTGTAACGTTTGATGCTAGCATGTAAAGATCCGGATGATTCGATATCTAAATGAATTCCAAATTTTTGTAGAGTATCTTTGATTTTACTCAGAACAAACTTTGAAGGCTCTTTATGATTACGCAGTAATGCGGTTTCAGGAATTGTATTGTATAACAAATTAGCAACTATCATATTAGTTAGCAACATAAACTCTTCTATGAGCCTAAAGTATAATACATATGCATATATTAATTTAAATAATCTCTTTTAAGTACTGCTTCGGTTTATTGAATGTTACCAATACCTATTACTCTCTTTATTTTCTTCTATGCTGTAAGATATCGGTTCACCCGTAGTTCTGTCAATTGTAACAAACAATTTCGGTTGGTCTATCTGTAAAGCACCGCTCGCATATCTTTTGTTACGCATTTTAGTAGCTAAATTATGTAAACTGTTCACTTTAGAAGATAAATCGTTAACGTTATAGTTTCCCCTTATATTTAACATGTCATTGGGCCAATTATTTTTCGGACTTTCAATAAATTTTTGAGCATGCTGATATGCCATTTGACAACATGAGTTTATTATAGTTTTAGCGAAACGATAGGTAACGATCTTTCCTTCTGCTGTCATTTCAAAAATAAGAGAGAAAGCTAGCCTATCTTGACCTGGTAGTAAAGAACATATTTCACATAATTGCTTCGGTAGCATGTGGTACACATTATCAGTCATGTAAACAGTAGTTGCTCGTTGCTGAACCTGTTTATCTAATGGAGATGAAAATTCCAGATAATAAGTAACATCAGCTATATGTACACCAATCTATAATGAGAAAAGCATATAATAATGACAGTTTTAGTGTATGTTTAATTGATTACATAGAAAGTCAGTTTATATAATAAGTCAATTACTTCATAGTTTTCATTTTCTAAAAGTTTACAAGAAACTGCGTCATCTAAATCAGAGGCAGTATCAGGATCAATAGTGAATACACATTCCTTCCTCCAATCCTCTCTGTCTTTAATGTCATTTTCTGTTAACAGGTAATCTCTATTTGGAAGACTTTGTATCATTTCCTGATTGTAAGGTGTTACATCTAAACCACGTTCAAGTAATATTGCACTTGATTCTGCAGATATTTCACCTGCAGATCCAACTTTTCTTACAATTCTCCTGCAAGCAATAGTAATAATAATAAATATTAATAATTTCTAGTACATAAAATTTTTGGTCTTCTAAATTGTATTCATACCCGAGTGTCAAATGAGGTTTCACCCATCTTGTAATACTAGCTAAAAATAATGTTTCTTTCTCTGGTACAGTAAATCCTTTGGGCAATGACTTTGGATCTATCCTAAGTAATGGTACACGTTTGTCCCTAGGATAAAAATCGAAACATGCTCCTTCTTGCTTTAAATACCCTATAGTCTTTCGTGGATGTATTTTTTCCAATATAGAAACAATAACACCTGTCTTCCGTTTTTGTCCATCTGAAAATACTTGCCACTTTTCTGGAGGATTAATACGAGCAACAACATTATCTCCCTCTAAAGCTCGATTTCTATCTCCAAAACCAACAATTAGTAGACCTGGTTCTTCATCGGGTAAATTTAAATAGGCATGTTTATAAAAGTTAGGATTAATGCGCAAATATCCTTCTACATATTCCAAATTCCCTGAATTCTGATTGATTAAAAGTTCTCGAACTTTGTTTACAGAAATATGTTCTAAAAATATTTCCTTCTTTTTAGGGGTTTTTGAAGTTTTTCTACATTTAAGTGTAGTTTCTTCTGCAACATCCTTTATAACTTCTGTATTAAGGTCATATTCAAATTCTTGGCTTTCTTTTCCTTTTAATTTACGTCTCTGCTTTTTCTGTGAAATATATACTTTAAAGACTATTACGTCCAAGAACAATTTTAAAAGTTTTAAGAAACTGCTTCAATAAATTATGCTATATGCTACAATGTGGATTGCTACTAACTCACCTGTTTAGGTACTTTTTGTGGAACATCTTGAAAATTACCTTTAACACAAATTCCTTCACTCTGGCATTGTTCTAATTCTGATTGAGCAATGTACCCCACAACAGGTGACTCTTCTTGTATAATTAATTCTTTAATGCCATTTAATACAGAGTTTTTGTCTTTGTCAGACTTTGGAATAGTTTTTGATTTTGTAAACTTAGTCTTAGTTTTTTGTTGATTTTTATCATTGGCCTTTACTTTCATTGAACATTTTTTTCTTTCTCTTTTCCTGTTAACGTCCTGAGAACAATGAGGTGTCGGATTGTTTTCGTCATCATTGATGTCAAGAACAATTGTTTTACGAGATATATTTTCGCAAGAGTCCGAGAAACTTATTTCTTCTGACATAATTTTGATAATACACGAGCTATTTGTTTAGATCTTCGCAGAAATTAACCACGAATAATTTACCTTACATAATCGTCACTTTATAACACTTATAAATGTTATTGTGAAATATTACCACAAAAGTTGTGTCACTTGTATGTTGATACTGTTATCTTTTAACAGATTCTGATTGATTCTGATCGGTTTCAATGTCACAAAATGAAAAATTCCATACATAAACTGTCAATGTATTGTATATCTAACAAATCCCGATTTAACGAAAATAATAGTGAGAGATTTTATTTCACATTGCGTGCGTATTTTCTTTTCTATTCAAATTTATCAATATGTCAAAGTAATGCACACTACAAACGCACCACCTGTGCTACACAATTTAATTCGTCTATTCTATTTCAACATTTTTATCTTGTTTATTCGAATCAAGGAATCATGACCATTATGACCTTTTGCTACAGAAAAACACAGAACAGCATGTAACTTGATGGCAATTATGCAAGCAAATTCAGCATTCGCCATCTATCAGCATTTACGAAAAAAGTTAAAATCGTAGAATTGTAAGGTAGAATCCTCAGATGGCCTCTACGTCTCAGACTGTCAAATGTTACACTAGTCCCATCCCATGTGAAACTGAGGTACTAATTCTCCAATAGCTTAGGCGTTCTGCCGTAGATGGTGCCACGGATCTTTTCGATCGTATTTATTGTCACATATCTGGAATCTAATATCAATTAAAAATGTCATAACGAACGATTGTTACTGTACAATATAAAGTCAATGATATTCCATGGACAAACTAGCATAATTGGAAAAGATTTTTAATCGCGATTTGTGCGATTCTCGGTACATATTTCTCGTTATAAACCATTGAATATCATGGCATAAGAGAGATGCCATATTTTGCGGATGACTGATTGGTTGAGAAAACCATTCACAACACAAGGAATAATCAACAACAATGCTAAAAAATCACTGTGGAATCGTCCGCGTAGGTAGATTTACTGGGTAAATGTTGGCAGACTTTCGTTGAAAAACTCGTTTCCTAGAGAATCACGAATTGGCAAGTAGCCGAAGCGATTGGACTAGTTGGCCAGTTGGCAAGCAGGGTGGTGTGAGGTGGTAGGTACAGAAGTTGTGTCTGGAACGTGGTGGAAAGGCAAGGTTGTTTCGATCGGTATTAAAGGAAAACGGTAGCTCGCGCAGTCGGCCGAGAGACTGAGCATCGAGAGGATCTCTGGGAAGGCTCGTGCAGCAGTGGGAGGAACGGGCGTTTAGAGTGTGTAAAGAAGTTTCGGAGTCGTGTGTCAGAGTCAACGGGGAAAGTTGTAACTCGGTGCAATAATGTTTCACGTAAGAAGATTGACGAGGACGTCGATCGCCTTGAAACAAGCACCGACAAACAATGATATTATTCACAATACGTTGATACGTGTCGTGCCGGCATTTCAAACACGCGGTTACGCGGATCATCAGATACCCGACCGTTTGAAAGATATCCCAACGGATCCGAACCCGAAGTTCTTCGACATGGTCGAATACTTCTTCCATCGTGCTTGTCAGATTGTCGAGGATAAACTGGTCGAAGATATCGGCAAGCGTTCCAGGGTAACCGTGGAAGAAAGGAAGAAAAAGGTGAAGGGTATTTTGATGCTGATGGAACCATGTGACCATATCCTCGAGACTTCTTTCCCTCTAAGACGTGACTCTGGCGACTACGAAATGATCACTGGTTACCGCGCTCAGCATTCCACTCACAGAACACCTTGCAAAGGAGGTAAAAATTATTTAATGTTTTCTTCTCTTCCGAACATCCAAACGAACGGGTACATATTCATTTCGACCATTTTTGGGCAACTAAACCCGTTAACGATTCGTGTATTGATTAACGTACGTTTCAGGTCACTTGCTGAGCTATATTGGATTACGATTAAACGTGTATAACGTGTGATTACTAATGAAAGATTCGTTCAATTTCGCGAAACGATTTTTCCTCTCTGTCAAGGTTGGTAGTAACCGCCGCTCCAATTCGATATTAGTAGACCCATCAATTACGTCATCGATGACGGCATTACAAGGGACCACGAGAGATCCCGAATCGGAGCAAATTCGCGCTGGATCTCAGAAGATCTTTTATTTATCCGACAAAACGTTTTCTGAAAATGTTTCTCAATGTATTGCGGTCGGTTGGTTACTTCTAAGTATTCGTTCACCATATATGATGATTATACTCTCGACACTTACGAGAATTATACGGCTTCATGTATATAGTACGACGCGGTTTTAACCTCGATTCTGGAAGACAAGATTATGAAAAAGGTATCCACGAAACATTATCGAATTGGTCCATTCGCGGTTCAGTAATCTTATCGAGATTACGTTTCCGTTGTAGAACGTAATTACTTAAAATAAAATAATCAAAGAATCGAGGGATACGATCGTCGACGTATTGCAGTTTCACCTGCCACGGTTGGCTGATCAGGGATGATAACGCGGGAACGCTTACGTTTCGTCTGTCTGTCAACGGAACCGCTTAGTCCACGGTGATTGTGTTACACCGATTAAACGCACAACGTTTGTCATCCTGCACGCGGTCGGATTAATTGAAGTTTTTAAACGGCATGTGAGCGAGAGGTCCCATTAGAAGGATCGCTGACAGAAGTTCGTGTCAACCGTATAATACTCTGTAATCTCCTTGATGTAAATCTGTATTGAGCTCGTTATTAGCAAAGAGTTAATAACGCGTCGTACAGAAGCGGCAAAGCTTCGTCACGCGAGCCAAGTATGTAAACAGATTCCTCTCGATGATCGATTCCTCATGACCAGCCATCGATCAAGCAGTATAATTACTTTGTTTACTAGTATCCCGTAACGAGCAACGTTACTTCTTCCAGAGTTCTGCTGATCGCCTCATTACTTATACCGGTTTATGTACCTTAATCGTCTCGACAGACTTCATCCGGCTGTTCGCATTTCTTAATCGACAAGTATCTTTGTATAAACGTAAATCCACCAATGATTTTCTTTCGTGGCAACGCCTCCGTTAACACTTGCGTTCGGAGCGTTAAGCAAGAAGTATCACGAACGATTTCCTACGACGATGATTGTATTCAGTTGTTCTTCTGACTGGTCCCTATTTATAGACCGAGCGACATAGATCATTGGGATTGCCACGTTATACATATTTCTCGATACACGTAGATATACAGACGAGAAATTTCAATTGCTTTTCCGTGAACGCGATCGGTAACGAACACCTGCGGTAAAGCGTGCTAAAACATTTTGGGGGACACGGTTTACGTCACGTGCGCGTGTGTTTCATCGTGTCTGATTGCGTAACAATACAGGAATAATTAAAATCGACTGGTATTCGTTGAAGATGAAACACACAGAGATCGAGTCATATCGCTCTATAGTTAGAATATGGATAGGTGAGTAGAGTCACGCGGTACACGATGCCAAGCTGTCTACCTTTTTCTTCCTCCCTGCCAAACATTAGCTAATCATCTGATTCGCGATTTAATTCGAGGGTTTGGCAATCGTTGGTATCGTGTCAATGTCATGACGCTTTAAGGTCAATGGCCCTCCGTTTAGATCTCCGATTTTCCGATCCAACCAACCCGCTGGGGAGGGCTTTAATGATCGATGGGGGGAGAGCACACACGCCTCTCCATTTTAACGACTCGAAGATCCGTGATTGACCCGTCATACGATCGAGAAAAAAAAATTCCCCGTTTAAATATCGCCCTATCTTCCAGCTGTTATTTGACAAAGTCATTAACGAGGCCGTTCGAATATGCGAGACCCTGACAAGCTGTCGTTGTCGCGCGACTATTTCGGCGCGATAACGCGTGGCTATGCATATCGCGCTGCCTTCGTCGTTGACCGATTTACCACACGTTTCCGTACTGTTTGCCTCTCGTATCAAAATAGATCCACATACAAGTATAAGATCGTTGCACACTGACCGACACCAATTTAGACCCAAAATCCTTACGATCGACAAATTGTCAACGAAACGCATTCGTTTTAGTTCCTTGTCAAGCGAGCGATCGCGATCCTCCCTTCTTACAATGGTATTTTTAGATACAATACGCTGGCAATAAATCCATCACCGTGGATCTTCCATTAACGCCTACACGCCAAGAGAATATTATCGTCCGTAAGAAAACGTACCCGACAATGTTTGCCTGCTCCATTCGCGATGTTAACTCTTGGAGGACGAAATCGCGCGAAAGCCATCGATTGCGTAATTCGGTTCGACGAAACGGAAAGTTTAATTTTAGACCGTGCGCGATGGTTTCGCGAAGATCCTTTTTGCCGCGACCGCGGAATTGCTTGGGATCATTCAGAACGGAATTATTTGTTTAACGGCGTTAAGCTTTCCCAAGGTTCGCCGTAGTTAATGCCACGTGATGGACCGATCGTAAAAAATGATCCAGCTTAGGCGAGATCTCCGGTGGGACTGACGAGTCCACAGGACTTATCGATCATTTTTATTATACATGCGTTTTCGTAGCGGACTTGTTCCGAAAAGAGAAACGTTCTTTTAACGGAAAAGACTTCGAGGTTTTCGGCTCGTGCACGTATCCACTCCGGTGTGTTGTTCGATGGTTTATATTTAGCGTGATCGTAGGCCCTTTGTACCGCGCCAACAGATTCTATCAAGAAATATTGCACAGCCTGTTTTCCCGTGGTTCTTTTCAGGTATCCGTTTCTCGATGGACGTATCGCGGGATGAGGTGAAGGCTTTGTCCGCGCTAATGACTTTCAAGTGCGCTTGCGTGGACGTTCCATTCGGCGGGGCCAAAGCCGGTATCAAGATTAATCCGAAATTGTACTCGGAACACGAGCTCGAGAAGATCACCAGGCGATTCACGTTGGAGCTCGCGAAGAAAGGATTCATCGGTGAGGATTCCCGGGAATGGTTCGACATCGGCTTTCATATAATAACCGGTTGTTTTAACGATACCAACGACGACGTGAAATATTTCGTAATCCGTTTGTTTTCATTAATCATTTGCTCGAGTTGCTCCGATAAGATGTTATCTGTTTACGCGGAGACCAACCGACATACACGAGCCTGGAGTCCCGATAATTGTACTTAACGAAATTCCATGCAAGCCGATCGCGTTGTTCGATACAGTAAATCATCGATGAGTGCTCGAAGACTTCTCGGCACCGAAAATGAAATATTTCATAAACTAATGACCGTATGTAGCTGAAAGAAATATAATTGCCTTCAGAATTCCAAGCTCTATTCACTGTACTAAATTTCATCGATGATTTACTGTATATTGTATTGACTACCTGTAAGAATCGATTCTGTTCACGAGCTAATTGTTCCAAACGTCACACGTGTGCTAATCGTATCAATCTTGAAGGACCCGGCGTCGATGTTCCCGCCCCCGACATGGGAACCGGCGAACGCGAGATGTCTTGGATCGCTGACACGTACGCGAAAACGATCGGTCATCTGGACATCAACGCGCACGCCTGCGTCACCGGCAAGCCGATAAACCAAGGCGGTATTCACGGTCGTATATCCGCGACCGGACGTGGTGTCTTTCACGGATTGGAGAACTTTATCAATGAAGCGAACTATATGAGCATGATCGGTAAGCAGACCACCGCTGACAACGTACACAATACAACTCCGGATTCATTCTACGCTATGCGAGATGTTTGAAGAACAACAATTGAGCACGCAGTCTAATAAACATTTTAATTGATGATCGCAGGCACTACACCCGGCTGGGGAGGGAAAACGTTCATCGTCCAAGGTTTCGGTAACGTTGGTCTCCACTCGATGCGTTATTTGCACCGTGCCGGTGCTGTTTGCATAGGAGTAATCGAACACGATGGTGCTATCTACAATTCCGAAGGCATCGATCCGAAGGCAAGTAACCGTACTCGTTTCAGTAAACGACAAGTTATCGAGGCCCCCGGTATGATGTAATAATCTTTAATGGGATTGCTCGTGCTACAGCTACTGGAAGACTATCGCATAGAAAACGGTACTATCGTGGGCTTCCCTGGTGCTAAGCCGTACGAGGGTGAGAATCTAATGTACGAGCCATGTGACATATTTATACCCGCCGCCGTAGAGAAAGTTATTACCAAAGAGAACGCCTCGTGCATTCAGGTGAATTTTGAAATAATTTATAATTATTGGTTGTCTTGTATATCGAACGTAAAATGTTAAAATTATCGATTGTTTGTTTTCTTTTTTTTTGTACAGGCTAAGATCATAGCCGAAGCTGCCAACGGACCAACTACCCCTGCTGCCGATAAGATTCTGATAGACAGAAACATTCTCGTCATACCGGATTTGTACATCAACGCTGGTGGTGTCACAGTCTCGTTCTTCGAATGGTTGAAGAATTTGAACCATGTATCGTATGGTCGGCTAACATTCAAGTACGAGAGAGAATCGAACTATCATTTGTTAGGTACGTTTTGCGTGACGATACCGTGGTGCCCTGTCAAAATGTTATCCTGCTCGTTTCATATTACGTTTATGTATGTTTTTAGAGTCCGTACAAGAGTCTCTAGAACGTAGGTTTGGCCGCGTTGGTGGCCGTATTCCCGTTACACCATCCGAGGCGTTCCAGAAACGTATTTCCGGTGCTTCTGAGAAGGATATCGTACATTCTGGTTTGGATTACACGATGGAAAGATCTGCCAGGGTATCATTTTTTTTTCTCTCGTACTCGTTGCAATATAATAAATAACATTTCGTAATATAATTGATTGTAATATTCTTATTTCTCGACAGGCTATCATGAAAACAGCAATGAAATTCAACCTTGGTTTGGATTTGAGGACAGCCGCTTACGCAAATTCAATCGAGAAGATCTTCACCACTTACTCCGAAGCGGGTCTCGCATTTTAAGTATACCCGGTATCCGAGTATCAATTAAATCGCATGAATTCAGATCAGTAACGAGACGTCTGTAAGAAATCATGAGCCAGTATTTTAAAAAAGCTGTTCACGATATCTCCCAGCTGGTGTTGTCCAGTCGCGGTGACAATAGACCAAAACTAGCAGCGGAATCGTATCGTGTACATCGTCGTACGATAGGTTTCTCGAGTGCATCGTAATTAATAATTTGCCTAAACGAATTCCTTCGCGCGTATACACGTTGTACGTACGTACACGGCACGCGAAAATGGCGTGCAACCGGACGCGTGTAAACCGTCGTTCAGAAGAAAGTATTCATACCTTTATCCCTCGAACGGAGTACAAGACCGATCGACACAACGTTAGTGCATTTTTATATATCACTTGTTATTCAATGTAACTTTAAGAATGCTTCGTGCAAAAATCGTCGAGACGCGAACGATCGTTTGTAAAGATCAGTATTCCCTTCGGCACACGGTCCTTGATATTATCGTATCCACGAGAAACAGTTTCGAGATGTAATTTACAATTAAGACTCCTTTCTACGGAATCAGAGAGCGCGATTTATCGTACAGTAATATTGTTACCAACTTAAAAAGGGTATGTCAATAAACATGTGCTCTTAATCAATTACTTTTTTTACGTCATTCGTTAACCACCCTTCCTTCGCGCAATAGCGGCCTTGGACGTTGTTAAAATGACCTGTTCTCACGACATCTATGAAATCAGCCACGTTGTTCCCAGTATCACGAATGAGCATGCAAACTTCCTTTAGTTCTCGATTTTGCGCCGCGCCCTAAATATAGTAACGTAACAAACTCAGCGTGTAAATGTGGGCATATTTTTGTCGTTGCGTGACATTTGGAATTCATATACATGTATACCAACAGGTTGTGGAAAAAAGTTTTGCCTAATCAACATCCAGACCTCATTTCATCCTGATTATCCACGGAAAGACGATATTAAGGGGAAGCAATAGCATACAACGAGAACAATTTACTTTTATGGTATACGAATGGAAATGTTAATGGTTCTATACGGTTCGGCTCGATTAAACTTTCCCTTCTAAATCTTCCCGAAAATCAAAGGGACCGGTTTCCTGCCAAAAGAAGAACATCAAACGTCGATGATTGCGTACTACTGGCAGATTGTTCGGCCGGCTATATATTTTCCTATACTACTAGTTAGGGCGGTGGCCGTTGTCGTATAAAGCGTCACGACATCGCGACGTTGCCATCATTCGTCCGGTTAGTTCTTCAACGGCGTGCCATAATCAACGCAAGGTGACTACATACGTGTTCTTTTTATTTTGCTTTCCCGATAATTTCTGTATGAAATTATCCCATTTTGTCGATTCACAGCTCATCCTTAGAAAGAATCTCGCGTGTCTCTTGGTGTCATTATTATTTATTAGGTTACTTGTCATTATTAGTATTCACACGATGATCGTTTAACCGGCGAGACTGTGTTTAAAGATGTTATTACGCGGAGAATGATTAATATTTTTCGCGAAGGTGAATCGTTCCCTTGTTCAAATTAAACTCGAACTTATCAGATATCTACTACCTGTGTTGCAATATTCGGGTGCAATATTATATTCTTTTCATTCCTGTTGCTACTACGTATGCATCACACGGCAACGAGTCTTTCTGGTTTAGGTGGCGAGATTCGAGACGAGAGTGAAACCCATTGATATATCAATTCCTATGGCAAGCATAAGCAATGGGAATGGATCGACGATACAGATCAACACGCGACCGGATGATATACAAAACCGCGTCATCGGTGGTAAGTAATCGAGAAAATTACTATTACTATTAACGATTCGGTAACCCTAATGAATTTGCAGAAAAAAAATACATTAAAATAGGGGAAGAATAAAGATTCAAAGGACTGTTCGCAGTAAAAGGTTAAGCGTGTACGCTTACGTGTACGTGATATTAAATTCGGTGGGGGGGTATTGAAGTATCCATGGAATCGAGTAGGGTCTGTCACGGTATGAAATATTACTTGAGTGTAAGGAAGGTCAAATTTCCTATTACGCGCCGTAACTAATGTATCGTGTACAGGAACCAGTAAAGGTTGTCAATCATTCTATTGCGAGGCCGCTTCCTCTTATCTTTCTAAATAATTTTGAAAAACTAGTGGAATCCATTAACAAAATTAACATAATCACATTATGATGGAATAATAAATATAAAGTATAATGATTGATTAGGCAGATGCCAGTTCATCATCCCGATGGTATCTCGCGTTCGTTAAGTAGAAACGGCCCGTCACTGGTCAGACATCGATTTCGTTAAAATCGCGAAGAAAGCGATCGCGAAAAGTTTCTCGCTGCTTTACACCGGTTGAACTTGGGTTGTTTAGCATTCACCTTGCGTATGGATTCCGACGAGCGACTATAAACACATCCCAGCGAGTTGTTTCTAATAATAAATCGATGGGAATATTTTTAGAGAAAGAAGCACACATCTATTCCCTGGAAACAGAATCATGAATAAGTAATGAATACCGGTCGTAGTTTGTAAAAGAATCATAAATTATATCACCCTCAGTAGCAGATACGTAAGAACCAACGAAATAATAAAAAAATAATTATTATCTTGTTATCACTTTGTACAATAATGCGAATACTTTTATCTATTTCTATATCAGTCCCATCAATTCATTTTAATAATTCCTTTCAGCCATCGCGACAATGTATAAATTTTTTATTCGCGATCAACATGCCACGCGAATATATTTATCAGGTTTCCCGTTGCGTTAAATATTTATGTCTCGTCCCCGCGATTACACGCTATCGTTTCCACAGGTTCGCGACGGAAAATACGAACATTTTTCCTGGCGAACATCCAGTGGTAATATTTCTGATAAAAAACGGTGATAACCGAGACCAGATAGCGCATATGCCTGTCGAAGGGACCGATTCTTACAGCTTCGATATCTCTCGATCATGGAACAGTTGACCCGATTCAAAATGCGCTACACGAACCGTCAACATGGAACGACGTCCTTCAATTTCAAGAGTAATGGGGCGTAGACGAACAGGGAGAATATCTGTCGAGGGTGGAAAGGGATGGTTGCGCGCATTTCGCGCATGCCGCTATGACCAAAGCGAGAGACAGGGGGTTAGGAAAAGATGGACAGAGAAAGAGAGAGGCAGACTGGGCAGAGCCGTGTGGATGAGCAATGAAGTGAGAAGATGCACGAGAGAAAGAACGAGACAGAGAATACGAGGACTGTCCATGTGGGTGGTTAAACATAAACTGGGCAGAGGCTATTCTTAGTGAACCGTGTGACGTGAATATAACGCGTCTAGTTCGCCCTGGCTCGTTTCGTTCCCCTGTTCGAACACCGCTACCCACCATCCCTCCTGTTCACCCCCAGAGTTCAAAGACACTTCAGAGGAATTTCTGTTTGTTCACGCTCGATTTACCAGACGCACTCCCGTAATCGGTCTCAAGATGACAGATGGTAAGCAGAGAGTATATGGAGTACGAAGTATCGAAATTCCCAATTCACGGATACGCGCGACTTTGTTGTAAGCATCGTGACGAAAATCTCTCCGTCGTGGACCATTCCATTCAGACACTGACGTCGCCTGGCCATGTAATATTACTGCGAGAAAGAATTCCAACTATCATCGTATCACCGTTGACGGGTGCTAATTTCGCTGTATGTAGGTTGTACACACAATGTGTTTATATCGATCCGCGCGCGAATAGGCCGATGGTATTTGTACAATCAATAGCAAAAATGTACCGACCGCTATACAGTCTCCAGGGTGTGTTCCACTCTGAAATCAGTGAGATCCAATAAACGTCGTCGTGCAACTGAATGGCACTACCAATGACAGGCGACGGTGTTAATTATTCATTTGCGGAACGACGACGACACGGAGGGTTGAAACGGTATTTTAGAAACGGTGACATTATTAGCCAGGAAAATGGATTTGACCCACAGTGCCAGAAACAGAAGATCGCGATTATAATGTAGAAAATAGGAATGGGTATTATTCTACCCTCCTTAATTAGCTTGATCCATGTGCTTTACCCTCGTTCAAATGATTCGTGGGACCAACAAAGACCGGCTTGTTGGTTTCTTTAGAAGTGTTTTCCGAGGAAGGGTAAAGAGGCACGCTTAAGAAGTAACAAACGAGCGATCCTCGAACAGCTTGCACTCAGGAGAGACGACGCTTGTCCCGATACTTTGAACGTGCGCGAAGATGCCTATCCACTTCGTTCTTCGGATCAGATTAATTGAACGGTTTTACACATTGTTTTGTCCCACGATAATACCTCTAGAAAACCGTTCTATGCTTCGCTTGATATAACTTCTAACGATTAAACGATAAAGGTAATATATTAACAGGAACGGGATTTCGATTGCCTACTTTTTTAAGAGCCCTAATTTCTTCCCTTACAATGCGAATCAGGAAGAAGCACATTGAATTATTAACAACGATCATCGGAATGTTTCAGCGGAAGAAAACGTCCAAGAGGACAAAAGTCACTGCGGGATTATTCTAGTGGCATTATCCTGGATCGTTGTGATCTTAACGATGCCATTCTCCCTCTTCATTTGCTTCAAGGTGAGATTCATATTTCGTACTCGTCTTACGTTCTCAATGAACGGATTGTAATGTACTAACGCGTGTCACCTTTTACGTACCGTAAGTTTAAAATTATTGATCAACCTCTCTCACCTGTTTCTATTCTTGTTCCTCGGGTTCGTCGCGATCACCACGGGTTCCATTCACTTCCTGTTGCCCCGCTTTCCACGGTCGCCTTATAATTAGATGGCTGATCGGTCATTGTGCTACACCATTTGTGCTCCCTGGAAAATGCATAATCGATTAATTATAACGTCAACATCACGATCTTCATCAATATCTTTGTATATTTATCGTTAGGTGGTGCAGGAATACGAGAGAGCCGTGATATTTCGTCTGGGGCGGCTTACTGCCGGTGGCGCCAAAGGACCCGGTAATATTTAATCTCGAAAACCAAAAATGAAAGCCTACTAACGAAACCTCCTTTCTGTCAATTTCTAGGCATCTTTTTCATCCTACCCTGTGTGGACAATTACGCTCGCGTCGACCTACGTACTCGAACGTACGACGTTCCGCCGCAAGAGGTAAATCGATACATCCCGTCCCTCGAATTCCGAGGAAATTTTAATACCGGAAAATTCCGTTCGCAGGTGTTGACGAAAGACAGCGTGACGGTGTCCGTCGACGCGGTCGTGTACTATCGGGTGAACAACGCGACGATCTCGATCGCGAACGTGGAGAACGCTCATCACAGCACCAGGCTGCTCGCTCAAACCACGCTCCGTAACACCATGGGAACCAGACCCCTCCACGAGATCCTAAGCGAGCGTGAAACTATCTCCGGGAACATGCAGGTAATCCCTTAACCATGTAACTGATTTTATCAACGACAGACAACGGGTGTGTTTAGAGCTGTAACGAGAAAAATGTTCACCGTTAGGTATCACTGGACGAGGCTACAGACACTTGGGGCATTAAAGTTGAACGAGTGGAGATGTAAGCGTGTCTTTGTACGTAGAATTTAATATTATTCGTAATATAAAATTTTTTTCTGTAGCAAAGACGTGAGGCTACCTGTCCAGTTACAGAGAGCGATGGCCGCGGAAGCTGAAGCCGCCCGTGAAGCTCGCGCGAAGGTTCGTCTTTCTGTTTTTCCTTGTGTGTTACTTTCAATTTCATCGATGGTGTTTCACAGGTAATCGCAGCCGAAGGGGAACAGAAAGCTAGCCGAGCGTTGAGAGAGGCTTCCGAGGTGATAGGAGATTCTCCTGCCGCGTTGCAGCTTCGCTACCTGCAGGTACGGTCGAAATCAATGTCACGGATCATCTTGTGATCAGTAGAGCATTTACACAGAGAGCATCACCATTTTCCGTTCTATCGTTTTCAGACTCTAAACACTATCTCGGCGGAGAAAAATTCGACGATCGTATTCCCGCTGCCTATCGACATGTTGACTTACTTCATGAAAGCGTCCGCCGCGAAAGAGTCTTAATCGCAAGGACATCCCGTTCTATCGAGTTACTTTCGTGAAACCGAAATAATATCGCGAGGATCTTCGAGTTACCGAAGACACTTCACTGCGCCAGGGGAAACTGAATCTTTAATTTTGTTGCAAAAAGAAAAGACCATCAAGACACAAGCTATGAATCTACACGCAGGCGGGAATTATCGAATATTTGACCAATTAGATAGAATATTAACGTCGGGGTGCACACTTACAGGCTACAAAATTTGCAACTTTCCGATGGAATCTCACTGACAACGCGAATAGCCCCGAATACTGAAGACCTGAAACGTAACGTGACTACGTTTCTGAGTTAACATCGGATCGATAAACGCAAAGAATTTTTGCACTATTCACTGCACATACCCATGTTGACTGTCTCGACCAATTTTATAACACTTTCATATTTTTTAAAATCTTCACACGTATTTTTTTTTATAAATTATTTATCTGTTTTACTTGCGTATACTTACGACCTGTAAACGTACAATGGCGATCTGTATTATCGAGGATAAGTTATGCTTAGAGAGGAGGGGAAAAGAAACCATAGTGATTCAGTATAGGGTTAAAACGGTGTTTAAGGATCCGAGTTCAACGAGGCGCAAAAAAACCTAGAGGAAAAGTTAGGTAGCTCTCTGTAGTTGTTGATCGTAATGCACAGTCCGATTGATCGAGTTATAGCGATCGTAACTTATTGCTCGAAGACTCAACGTTTACAAAATAATTAATCTTTTCTACTTACGAAAGTTGTATACACTGTATATATTGTATTGTTAAAAAGAAAAATTCGAAGCATCAAGTTTCGGTGTGTTCAAGATCGACATTCGGTATATAAAAGATTTTCGAAATTTTATTTTATTTGCATACGATACTATGAATAATGTTATGTCCAGACACGAAAGAGGCGTTCTGTTTGTATCGAGTATAATTGACACACTGTTCATTTGCTCCATTGTAGCCTACTTGTTCGGATGGCGATAAAAAATTAATTTCGTCGCCGGTTATAGAATTCGATCGCCTTAACGATACATTAAAACGTGCAGTGAGCGTTGTTGGCGTTTTCGGGGAACCTTTGAACGGCCTGTAACGAGACTTGGTCTAACATCGGCAACTCTTTTCGATAACTAAACAAACGATACGTGTTTTGAAACGACGCTCATTGTTCAATTAAGGCAGCGACGTTAAGACTAAACATAGATAATGCGTATCCGACAATGTACAAATTCACTTTTCCTCATTCAATCGTCATAAGCGAATACCGGTTACGTGGAAATGGAAGGAATTTGGAGGACTGAGAATCTATTAGTTAATATAGGTTTCAACAGCCATGCGTTTCAATGAAGACAATGTAATAAGTTCTCAATGCGTTGAGAATCATATTCACTTCCACTTGCGCGTGTGTAAATTAACATCTTTTCTGGTTAAGTGGAATTCATCTGATATAGCGATAAACAATCGAAACACATTACATAAACACGGGTGATTAAATCGCTTAGATCGAAAATAATTCTAATACACGTAACTCTTTTTACGATATTCAACCAATACTCCAATCCTTCTACCGATGAAAACTAAACCTACCTCTACGTTACATGCTTCTATCTCTACTTGTGATACTATGTTACGTCAATGTAGTGTATCTTTTTCATCGATTTGTAACATTCGCAAACTATCACGAATGAATAAATTACGGATGTGTTTGCAAAACTATGTTAACAATGTTTTCTCTTCGACTTAATTTATTACTACTATTTATTTACTTAATTTACCTGCAATATGTTCTGTAACAATGTAAACATGAAGTCATCATAGCTTTGTCGTGCAGGGTTGCTGCACATAATTCAAGCAAAATCCCTTGTTCCCGACGTCGTTCGGTGCTTCGATACTGTCCGTGTGAAAAATTAATCTAAACGGCTTTACTGTACCTGAGAAACGGTAATTACGTCACTTTATTAAACTAACCGATAGCTAATTTATCTTCTTAATTTAAACTTACGATGAACTTCACGTTAACTACCACGACGATATACTTACTAACGACCGAGGATGTGTTTAAATTTTGACTTTCCGCATTGAATGTCCCGCCGCAAATTCTATCGACGCACGTCATCATTGCGGTCGGTAATTTACCCAAGTTTGTCGCGCAAGGGATCGTCAACCAGTCTGTCTGACAAGCAGCTCCAGTCATCGAAGCGATTTGGGTCCCCTGCGTGTTTCCCGTTATCGAAAACGCATTATTGCGCAGCATTTGCGTTGCCGGCGTTGCACCCGACGATGCCAATACCTGACCTATTTAATGAAACGTTGATACATTCTCCTAAAATTGTCTCGATGTTATCTGCATTTCCTACAAATTATCCTTCTTACCATCAACCGAACACGCCGTGTATTGAATTCCACAAAAGTTTCTTTCCATTCTGATGCAGATACTGTAATCCTGATTCGACAATTGTAAACCGGTGGTGAGATCGTAATTGAACGATTTTATTTGACCGGATATACCCGTGAAATATTGCAGGCATCCTTCCTCGGCTCTGTATATAGTGTTGCAACGAATCTGCGATACTCGTACTTTCCACGATCGGGTGAAAGAACTTCCGCTCGTGACGAATGTTAACGTGACGGGATTCGTTTGCCCGATACCCGCGTCAATATAAACTGTACGATACCGATATTTAACAGTTGCAAATAGAGTATTGTGAAATTACAATTAAACTTGCATATACATACTATGATTTCCAGTATTACTTCCGCATATAGTAGGGACCGGATTACCACCGGACACGATAAACTGATCGTAGATACATTGGTGATTCGTTGTTTCCGGTCCTCTAATATTGAACTGCATGAAATCTAATCTAAAAGGTAGATAAACTCTCAATAACTGTTCGAAACGAATACAAGCACCGAAAATAAAGCAAAAGCTCACCTAAATTGACATACATCTGGATGCGACTTGATAAGGGTTAACTGACAAGACTCAGTGCCATCGAAATTCGATGGATAATTTGGATTAACGAAATAAGTATTGTTATTGCTAGTCGTCTCGCCGCAAGATACAGTTACTGATACAACAAAATTATTATTAGTCAATTTACCTTTCATTGTTTTAGTCGAAACTGTCCACGGTTAAGGCCCTGTACGTGACGTTTCCTGCTCTTATATTTCTATTGTTTCTATTACTTCAATAATATTATTACCACTATTCTACTGAACTAAATGAAATACGAGGAATAAATTTACCAATGCAACAGACCCCATAACCGTTCGCACAAATCCCGCTAGATACGCCCCCGCGTTGTAAGCACTCCGTTGACGCCAGGCAGGTTCCATTCTCACCGTTTAATCCGACGCAAATGTTATTGTCAAATCTCACCACAGTGAACAAAGGGAAAACTGCATTCAACAAATCAAGTATATTGTTCTGATAAATTGAATATCGTTAAGAAAAAGTAACGGTTAGGCACTTACTTCGCTTTTCTCTGCCAGTGTAAGTCGGCATACCACTTTGAACGGTAGTTGATTGGAATTTATTCAGCGAATCTCGTATGACTGTCTCGTTCACGCGAATATTATTTCCCTGCCAGAAATGCGTAAGTCTTCGTAGGGCATCCCATGCGTTAACATCGACACACATTGCAATTGTATGCATTAGAAACACGAGAAAATAATAACCACGCATTGTCGTATTAGAATGAAAATCAGTGACACGATACTGCCGTAATTTTAATAATGACTGACAAGTTTGGCTGAACTTCACCGCAGCTGAGCAGTGAATAAGAGAATGGAAAGGTGCGAAAGGTAATATAGGTAAGTAAGGACATGTTTACACGGTCTGTATATCACGCGGTAAATTAAAGGGTGCACCCGAAGTGTTTTGATTTCATCGAAACGGTTTGCAAACAAATGGGGAGAAAGCCATGAGATCTCATTGACAACAAATCCTTGGCACTCGACCATTGTGTTCATGCAACGTGTCGAAAAAAAAAAACAATTTTACTTTCGCGCCTGTAATTAAATGAATCTCCGCCACTTTGGATGCAACCGTGACTACGTCAGACTATACGTACATTCGGATTCTTTCTAGTACAACAATACGTTCAAAGACTCATTTACGTTAAATGCTGATAATATCTTTGTAAACACTCGTTTTTTCATTTTTCTCAGTACAAGCGGCTGAACTTTTTCTTAAATGAACAATGTGTAAGATGCTTTGGCTGATACGCGAGAAAGTGAACTTTCTAATCGTTTTTTTACGCGTTTGTCAACAGGGTCTGTAGGTTCCAAGGTGTGCACGACATACAGGACAATAATGGTCGATAGTTTTGCAGGTGTTCATGCAGTATGGGAACATACAACACGGCCAGCATCTATAAGTAAAATATTTCTTTTGCCATAGATCTCTTTGAGTATTTGCAAACATTTGTACCCGCACAGGAAGAGCGCAAAAGCGGCAATGTGAGTAATTATAGATTGACGAACTTCTACAGCCGTAATAATAATGGTGGTGCATCGAGGACACAGGGCGGTCATGGGACTTGCTGTCCACAGTCTACTCGTGTTATCTACACAGAAGTTGTATTGTAAATCACCAAGACACTTTTTGCGGCGAATGTATGTATCAAAAATATTTTAAAAAGATATTTTATCATACGTGAAAGTGAAAATAGCTGATCCATGGACGCGAGGCAAATTCCTTCCGCTTGAGCATAGCTAGGAGGCGGTATCGGAGCGATGAAAGATGATTCGTTCGTCGATCGAAATGGAATCCAATTGCGCGTTGCTGTCACATGTCTGGGGAATATCGCGGAATATGACGGCGGCGCATCTCTCATATAAGGACGTGTATCTGGCTATCCGTTAATCAATCTTTGTTATCCCTGTGATTTGATTAATCCTAGAAAATACATATAGTATGCGAAATCGAATACTTCATCGTCCACGCCAGACGCGCAATGTATACAATCAGTTAAACTCCACCGTTGGCGGCTTGTTTCAAGCGTTGATAAATCATTTCTTGTTGCTTCTCTGTCATTCGGTGATGCCGACTCTGGCGTTTGGGAAAGTTCATACGTATTCTGCACGGGTATATGCACGTCTCGATTACCTTAACCAAATGTGTAAATCGTACTATATGGTACTAAATAATTGAAGCGTACAACATGGCTAAACACGGGAAATGTATACCAGATTCGTCAATTGAGTCTACCAACATGCTACGCCCATCGGGTGACGGTGTCCCGTAATCAGTCGTCACCGTTAAAACTTCGTTTCTCGGTCCAGATTTACACGAGGAAAGCGAAGTAGATATTTGTAGAGTATCTCGCGAAGTTGTAGGCATCGATTGCAACAACGACGGATGCGGCGGTGCTGCTTGAGTCATCGCTTCACGACGTAACGTGATCGACGTCTAAATTCGATGAAAATATCTCTCACTTCCATTGTTTATAAATTTATCGAGTACGTAGTTCTTATAAAGATACCTTGCTTCGAAGAAACGCGCGCGAAAAAGATTTCACAATCTCTGGGGTGTCTTTGAAATCGCATGTCGTTTCATAACTGAATCGCGTCGGTGATGTCGTAGAGTCGATAAATTGCCTATCCAACGGGGATTGCGTTACAGTCAGCTTGATCAACGTTAGAGGGGTCTGCGTACCAATTGTTGATAACTCTTTCAGTTCTTCTATCGATCCTACTTCTCTCAATTCATCCGAATTCACTGAAAATCATTTAACGTAATAAAATCTACTCTTATTCCTCTAAGCATTTCTAAAATGTATACATTGTATACCTAATGTAGCCGATTCAATCTCTTCTACTTCTTCTAAATTGCCTACGTCCGGTGTACTGTAGTTTGAGGATCTTTTCACTTCCGCGCACATAGTTCACCATGAATAATTTAAATATTATATTCATCGGACAAAGTTAACATTTATTCGGTACAAAAATTAATCCGATAAATGACTAAGATTCAATATTCCACGCACAATGTTAACACAACCAACATAGAAATAGGTTAGAGAAGACCGCTACGTTTCACAATATTATTCCACATGACGCCGAGAAACCGATCACACTCCCACTGACAGTCTAATTTAAATTATCTCCATGTTATTAATTAGGGTAAAAAGGATATCTTTCAAAATAGTAGGTCAATCTTATTTTAACCGACCATGCAAACACCTGAACGAAAATTCAAACGGAGCGCTGCTCGAGGCACGTAAAGATGGCACTCGACATTGAAGAGTACTTGTAAACTACACCGTTAGAAGTAAAGAAAGATTCCGGGCTGCTAGTCTTACAAAAAACGAATGAAAGTACGATTATCCAACGTTGCATTTGTCGATCATGGCACTTAGTAATTTCAATTTAATCGTGGTTACTTTGTAGTCCCTTCGTCGAGCAGAAAAGTCGAAGTTCCGTGAGTCGCGAGTAATCGCAGCGGCTATCAAAAAATCGTGGCGCTGCGTTAAGCGTGCGCTGACGCCATAGTGTGTGCGAGAGGCGAGAACAGCCGAAATGGAGGAGACTCAAACATCGGAAAGTGTCGCCGTGCTACCGGACATGTCCGAACCGTTGACGAGCGAGACCGAGGAGGCGTCCACCCTAACGACCGAACACGAGGCGCATCCCGTCGCCGTGACGGCTAGCGTCACTTCGGTACCGGGTGTTCCTGGTGTTCCAGGAGTCGGGGTACCGGTTTCTTTGCCTGTTGGCTCTATCATCGGTGTAGCCAACTCGACCAACGGCACGACCTTCAACGTCATCACCTCGGACCAGTTGCAGGTCAGTTGCAACGAGGACCTTTTCCTTTAAGTTTTCCGTATTTTTATTTTTATATATTACCCCAGAACGAGAACACTTATATTAAAATTCAACGATTTTGGAGCCACCAACGAGGTGGGGTTTTACTCATCGCGTGTACACGCGAAACTTGATGCATAGTAATAGCTCCCTACAGCTACACACCGCTTTGAGCCAGCGATAGTTTTCAATATAATTCTATGTTCGTTTCATTAGCTGGTCACTTGTTTTTGTTGAATGTTTATAAAAATTCGCGCGCTAAAGACACGTGTGCCTTTTATTACATCCATTTGCTTTTATTTACTTTAAAGGAAATACACTCTCATTTCATAATGTAAATACTCCCTAGGTATATATATATAGGTACTTTTTCCTGTGTTATAATTGTTATAGAGACAATTTCAATGGATGATATTTTTCACTTTTAGTTACCTGGTTCGGGGCAGTTTAAACAGATGCTATGTGTCGATAATGGTTTCATTTGTGAACCCCGTCATGATAAGGATACAGATCCTTTACGTTGGAATGGAGAATTAAAAGCTACTCACATAGTAATTCAAAACAGTACAGAGGAGCATGAATCTGAACAAATACATGTCTCTACAGCAAATACTCACCAAATATGCAGTTGGTCAGAATCTGCTAATTTGGCAGTATTGCCTGTTAGATGTAAAAATACAAATGCAGAGTTGCATAAAAGCAGATTTGGATCTGGAGCTAGAGGAAGATGTATCAAACTTGGACAGGATTGGTATACACCAAGTGAATTCGAAGCTCTTTGTGGGAGAGCATCTAGTAAAGATTGGAAACGCAGCATTAGATTTGGTGGTAGAAGTTTGCAGACCTTAATTGATGAGCATATCTTGAAACCACATGCAACCTCTTGTACTTGTGCGGCATGTTGTGATGATGACAGTGCGGTAAGTTTACTGATTTAATTTATAGTTAGTCTCTATACAAATTGTACTTATTATACTATGTATTTCAGACAGGTCCTGTTCGACTATTTACACCCTACAAGCGTAGGAAAAGAACTAGAGATACGTCGGATGGGGATGCGCCTATACGAAAGATAAAAAGTGATAATTCACGCGATGGTAGTAATAATGATGAAAGCGATGGTGAAGTTGTTGTACCTGATAAAGAAGTGTGGCCACAATTCGTTTCAACGGATGGTTTAGTTGTACAGCAATCGCAAGATCAAGATGGAGTTGTTCAAACTGTACACCAAACAGAAAATGGACAACCAGACGATATATTTAAAAAACTTGACGAGATGTCGAATAAAATGTTAAAACTAGCCTACGAGTTTAGACGAACTTTAGAAGAAGCTAAAGAAGTAAATAGACAACAAAGAAGAGAACAAGCCTTAGTAGCCCAGTTAGGAGGTAGAGGAGAAGTTATTGAAACAGTTGGACTTCAGCCAGCATCGGATACACATAATAAAAAAGTAATATTAAAAATAATAGCTTCCAAACCCGTTGAAAGTATTTAAATAATTGCCGATTTCTTTTTCTTTTAGTGCGCTAATTGCAACCGAGAAGCATTTGCTGAGTGTTCTCTATGTAGACGAACGCCATATTGTTCTACATTTTGTCAACGCAAAGATTGGGCAGGTCACCAAGTAGAATGTGTAAGAGGTGCTGCTGAAACTGTAATGCTTATAGTAGAAAGTAGTAGTGGAGATACTAGTGCCCTCGCGACGTCTACCGGGGACCAATAGCTAGTGTTCCTCACACCTATTCACCAAAGGAATATAGAAACTGAACAAACTAACTTACAAACGTCGAAATTAAAAGAAGAGACGAAGACTTAACAAATTTGTTTAATGACTGGAAGGTCAAAGTTCTGTAAATACTTTAGTAAATATTTTGTACATGTAATAAGTTAAAGTGTAATGATATTATATAGTGTATAAGTATAGGTACACAGAAGTCGAAACTTTTTGAGGATCATGGCTGGAAGTCATGGAAAAACGTTAATGAAATGGTGAAACAATCATATACCAAATGATTATGCAAATAAAAATGCAATGAGATATGCTTTACAAACGCATATACGTGCATATGTGTATGTATACACGTATATATCTGTAACACACTTTTTATGTCTAAAAAAAAATATATGTGTATACATATGTATATTATAAATATACTTTTACATTTTTTTTAATAAGAATCTAAACCGACCAAAGGAGGTAGCTTACGCTTCTACGGAAGTTATTTATACACATCATCGCACGTGTGTTTTCTGTTTATAGATATTATTTACTAATGCTGTATTGTTAGAAAGATTTTTAAAAAGTGATACTGCTTTGCTATTAATGTTTAGTACAAACACTACAAGAACATTAGAAAAATAATGGAAACTGTAATTTATACTTTATAAATGCGTTCAATCATAAGTTTATGAGTTTCTTTTTTCGTGAATACTTGCAATCGCTGTCCATAAAAAACAATCACAACTAATGCTATATTTTTTTTCTGAGTACAACAATGTCGTAATCTCTCCTTACTTGAAATACCAGTAAAAGTTAGTTTGTAGTTTTCTGTACATAGTATACAAATCATTGAAAGAAATTCACATAAATTCTGATAAATATAAATAAATGATAAACGTGATATATAGTTGAAGATGTATCATTTATCTAGTGTTTTTAACACATTTCCTAAAGTAAAATACATGACAAACATTGGTTACTCGATTTTATGCAGTAGAGATTTTTATCAGGTAGATTACAGAAATTCATTTGTTTTAATCCACCAATACTATTTTTAACTGGTAGATCTATACATATCTTGATTTATCAATAAATTTAATGATCATATATAAAATGCTGACATCAATGACTCAACTTATACTTATTGATTAAAAACATTTTAATATCGTCACATAGCATACAAAGTACATACCTAATAATTTCCATAATGCTTTAACCTATACAGAAAAGCACTACCAGATCTGTTGGAAATGCCTAAATAACCACTACCGGGTGAAAAGTCAATAGCTTCAGGCATTGATATAGTGGTTTGAAATGTCGGAAAATTTGAGAAGACGGTAAACGATGGCAAATGCACCATTTTGAATGCATTATATTTTTTATCAGAAGCCATCGCTAATATTTCAGAATAAGAATTAAACTTCAAACTCGTAATAGACGTTACAAGATTCAGAAGAATTTTTAACGGAACAGGATTTCGATTTTGCAACACTGTTTTTGAGTCATACAAATTGACGACACCTTGTTTACTACCAGTCGCTACAAACTGACCACTTGGAGACATTGAAATCGATGCACAAGATAGACATCCGTCATCTACAGCGCGATGTATACACGAGCGACTATTTATATCCCATATATACATTTCGCAACTATCTACAGTTACCATTAACAGAATGAAAAATAAAACTATTATTGTAATGTACTAAAGTAAATGGAAAGATACATGTATATATGATACTTACCACCATGTGTAATCAGTGTCTTACTATCTGGTGTAAAACATACAGCTCTACACCTCCCATTCATTTTTAAAGTACCAATAAGTTCTTTGGATGAACTTGTTAACAAATAAATTTCTCCCAATCGACCAGGCAGTGCTATAATTTCCCCATCTGGTGATACTTCGAAGTTCTAAATTTTTATTATAAAAGTGTTAATTCCTACACCCTGTCAACTTAGTAACACCAACCTACAAACCTGCATATTAGTAACACCATGTGGTAATGGTATTCTGTATGTCTTTCCACTAAGGAGATTATAGGAATGACAGTGTGGATAATATTGAGAACCAACTAAAACTTCTGTTCCATTCTTCAAAAATTTTGCCACACTGATAGGAAACTTCTTATATTCCATTGAATGCAATTTATTATTTTCAATACCATCTATCTGTAATTATATGATTATTTAGTATATTTTCAAAGTAAAACCATGTTTTGTAATTATTTACTTGAAAGAGGGATAGGGTTCCAGAAGTACCAGCAACCAAAGCCACTGTAGAAGATGGATGAAATTCTAGACTAGATATAACAGGTCCTTCTATATGCGTTTCCTTGTTAATTGGTGTCATTGCTTTTATATCAATTATACTTTTGGGTAAGTTTTTCAATTTAAGTTTTTCCAAATGACAACTATGCTGAAGAAAGATCTTGTATGTTAAACAGAGTACAACTGAAAATAATATTACACTTTTATTACCTTTAATATTTCATCATCTAATTCATCAGTTTTTTTATCTGTCTTCTTAAGCTCAGCCCACTTTGGAGTACCCACTAGTTTTGTATATTTGTTATGCAGAAAATCTTTATATAGCTTTTCTGGTATATCAGCTGGTAATCTTCGATTCTGTGCTTTTGTTGCAGCTTGTACTCTATTGAAAGATGTAATAATCAATTCCTAAATAGATTAAGCAGTACTCGACACTACAAAGTAATATACATACGAATATTGCTCATCATCTTCATCTACCCATGCTGTTTTATTCTGACTGTTTGTATCAATATTGTCATCACTCGGTACATCCGAATCATCACTGACATTATCATCTATAGAGATAATTTCATTTGCATTGATACTGTCGCTTTTGCTCGATTCAATGAAATCTTTGCTACTTGATAAATTGTTTAGAATATCACTTGGATCGCCAAACACGATTCTTTCTAATCTGTATACAGAACACATCACTCATTAAAGATACACAAATACTACCTGTAATTTTATAAATCATATACAATACCTAGCTTCTTCTTTCGGATCATATTCATTTTTTCGTTTTTTTTTTAAGGGCGCAGTAAATTTTTTATCATACAACGTCTTTGTGGGCCTACGCTTTTTTGGTAATTTTTCACCCACACCCGACTTCTGAGTCTTCATCTTATTTTTCTTTGTGGTTATTTCATTCATTTTTATGATTTATTTAAGTCGATAGGTAACGAACTGATAAATTGTTATACGTTTTAAACACATAACCTTACGGTCACTTACGGTACTATTTTGTCTGCACGCGGTCTTATCCTTCAACGTAATCACGATCAAAATAGTTGTCTATCTCACTTTGACAACTCCACAGTCGTCGGTCTGAAGAGAACTCTCTTTTTCTCTTACAATTAGAAGTACATAATGATATTCAATACTGTATAACAAAAAATACAGAAAAACCACACAAGTTATGAATATACATTATTTCTAACTCTCCACAATCGATATAGTGCACAGTTAACAGCTGTAGTGTAACAACTTAATATTTTGTAATGTTAACATAAATATATACATGACATGAAGAAGATCTCAGAACGCCATCTACGACAAAACACCCAAGCTGTTAAACAATTAATTTTAGGAGCACGATAACATCTAACGGCGGAAACATGGTACTAATCGGCTAATAACTTGAATGTTTTATCATAGATGGTACCACAAATCATTTTGACAACCTTTTTATACATTATAAAATGTTAATTATAAGTATCACAATCAACAATTCAGTGGGATTCTATAGATAATTGAACACCACTGGAAGAAATATATTTAATCGGAGCATGTCATCATCCCGATTTTGCAAAGTTCTTAAAAAGCGCGTAATTGTAATAGAGTTGATAAACATATGTCCATTAAAATCTGATTAAAAGTTTCAGTCGGCGTTGTTTGTAAAATAATTACTCAAATTTACTGAGTTTTGTATGTATAACAGTCATCTATAATTAAGATCCAATTAAGATGAATAATATTTTAACCATCCTCGTGATGAGACGACAGAGTAGATTTGGAATCGGTGTCGGAGAACAAATGTCTTTCCATTTCAAACAGTGATGGACACTTTGGTTGATACAATTCGACCGCTTCCAAGAGACTGTCTGGATATCCAGGAGAATAATATCTAATACCGATAAACGTAATGATTAAACTTTGAAAGTAGTACACCGAAATTTTAAAGTACATTAATGAATCTCAAAACACCTCTACAAAAATTTATATAGCAATCAATCACCACTTTTGAAATCAGGCATGTAAAAGGTATAAAGCTGAAACTTCATCATAATTAATCATCCGCTTATGAATGGATTGTAGTAAAGAATAATAAGTAAAGATAAAAACAGGCTTACAAATTTTCACATTAGCATGATCTAATACTACATCAATATTTGGCTGATGAGAATACAAAGGGCAATGACTTCCATGGGAATTATACAAATCATCGAGTGCGCGTAAAATTATTGATCCATTAAAGTTGTGGTTTATATTTTTCCAATGTAATCAGCTGTGACAACATGGCGGTTACGCCGTATATTACCTGCCCGATTTAAATTAAGACACGCGAGATCCAGAAACGCAGCTGCAGTTATTTGCATTCGCTGTTGGTGTAAACTACTCTAAGAAGACTGGCCATTTTCATCGACGAAAATTTACATTACCGAATTCCTTTGGTAAGTAAGCCTCTACTGGGGTTATGTCAAAAGCAACTAGTGTTTGATGATTATCTACTGTTGCCATTATCTGAACATGCACATACTCTTTTCCACATGTATCAGTATTTCTATTAATCTCAGAAATCTTAGACAAACTCAAGTAATTCAATTTAGGGTGAAGATAAAAATACTTTGAAAATTATACCAGTATTTAAGATAATTATACATATCTGGGTAATACAGCATCATAATGTAAAACTTATGAAGTCCTCTTTCCTCCATAAGTTATTAATTATAGCATATCTTTGGAATAAATGTCATTGTAAAATTGTATTTAGAGAACTATGACAGATAAAAAACAAGCCATCGAAACTATCAACCAAAAGAATTTCTTGGTAAAAGTATGATAGTAGTAACAACCTGACAATTTCTTCTGGAAAACAGCAATTGATAATTTGTATATATTCTGCAAGTGTTGAACCAGGTTCTGCTTGGATCTCTTGTACTTTCTTTAAACCACCGGATGTAACAAATAACCTTCTTGACCTGGCATCATGGGGCAAAATCTGTGTACAAATAAAGTAATCAAGAAATTGAATCAAATGCTGTATATTCTTTAACATTTTAATGTTCTCAAGGGGTATATGTGTATGTATGCATGAGTAGGTGGCAAGAGAAACATTATTAGCAATCAGTTTGCATGTTGCAATCCACCTAAGAATAAGGCTTCTGAAACCTGACCTGCACACTGAATACATTAGCCTTAAAGTTAATACACTGTTCTTCATTTTTTAAATTTATAACACTGTCTTAATAATCAATATTATTAAAAAACATCTGTACATGTAAACAAAATTTTTTAATATAAGGAAGTATGTATTCTAAGCATTGAAAAGTAAAAAAAAAGAAATTACAAAGATAACAAATTGCTCGACATTAAGATAAAATATGTTACGAAACTTTTGTAATCGCGTAAATATTTGTCGCAGCAACTGACGCATTCTATTACGTGTGTATACATATTTTGTATTCCACTGACGCATTTTGGAACAATTAATGTTAAACAATGGATGTTAATAACGAATAGAATTTTTTCCGTATATTCTTATTCATTCATTTACATTTAATTTAAATAATTTATTGCTTATTTTGCTACTTGTTAAAAAAGATCGTGTCCGATGTATTAATGATACACCTCTGTGATGCAACCGAGGCCAAATTCGTATACTTTTTTTTGTCTTAACGCCGCCAAAAATATCGTATTTCCGAAAACAAAATTCCAGAGCAAACTCATATATAGATTATGTTTGTCGCAAACCTGCTGACGCGTACTTATAGATCTTTTTCAACTTTCTAAGCGAGTTCCAATTCGTTCCATGCAATAAAAAATGAATTATTAATTTTTTTTTCAGGCGAATATGATATTAAGAACCAACGACCGCTACGGAAACGGAAGAAGATTCGACGTAATTTTAACATTGTAATTACAAAGTTAAAAACCAGTGTCTCTTTTATTACAAATTACAATGTTTTATTCTGAAACAATTTGCATATATGACATAGTCAGAATTTTTGAATTTTTAAAGCAAGTTTTTAAATAATTTATTCTAGAAATAGGCAAAACATGTGAAAAAGAAAATTGAAGTAATAAGTACCAAGCAGAGCTTCAAATACAACGACTCTAATAATGTATTTAAAATAATTATCAAGAAAAAAAAATATAAAGGATAAGAAAAGAATTTAAAAATTATTGAAGAACTTTGGTGATATGTAAGGCTTTGATAATGAAACAAGACAGCTGCCTTAAAGTTCAAACACATACCAATTAAGTGATTAAAAGGATATGATATCATTGTATACAAAAGGCAAATTGCGCCATCTTACACAGTACTATGTGCCAGATTTCTAGCAAATATGTCTGATAGCAGGAAAATAAAAATCTGTAACTTATAAGAAGGTAACTTCTTGCTAGATCATTCAGTATAATTACAGACATTTCGCAAGCTACATGTGAAATAAATTTTGTATGTAATTTCTGATTAAGCATTATGAAGTAAATGCTAATTTACTGTAAAACGTGAACATACAGGACACTGATCTACTGTACTAAACATAAAAGTAGAAGTCTAATAATAGACATGATAAACAACCAACATTGTGTTATTTTGAATTCGGGAGAGACCAATAGCTATCATCAGCCGGTCTCTGCCAAACCTTCTGTGGTCTCTGTATCGAGTATCGATTCAGATGTAAGTGACAGAAGGGATGTACGTGAAGAACTTTACGCTGGGATTTTCAGAAGACACAGGAAGACTATACTTGTATTAGGCAGTTTTCTCAAGATGCTCAGGGTGAATAGAAATATGAACAATTATGCTAGTATTAAACCCAATGATGATAATGATGAATAAAATGATAATTTCGTTGTATGAATGAAATAGAAGACCAAATTCATCTTTCTATTGCTTTGTAAAAAGAAATTTAAAATGTAATTTGATTCTTGTAACAGTTCAAATTAGAATATGTCGATTTCCTTTTTAAAAGCAACAATGTCCTTGATTCAGTACTTACTAATTTACTTTACTTAAAAACTACCTTATCTTACACAAGGTATTATCACTGCAAATATTTATCTTTCTATCATGTGCAACTGTTGTATATTATGTTCGAGTTTGTTTGCCATAATGACTATGTAGATCATAAGTATGTGCTTATTAACGTGATTTTATGTACTTCAGAATGAAAATAATAAGATATGAACGTATCATATCATATGTACTTTTTATAGCATTATACATATACTGATAACTATCATGTAAATTTGATTTGCAGTAGCACAATAGGGATCATAAATTACATGGGAATATTCCAAAATTACAATCAGCACAAATTATTGTAGAGATTATACTTTTTACAAGGCAAGATTTTCTAGTTAAGTGATATTAAATTGTAGAAAATGTTATATCAACTGAAAAGTTATACATAACACAATATGTTATTTCTGTTTCACAGTTTAGCTCTTTATATAAAAAAAACATCTATTATAGCATTTAAAAATACATTATTTAAAGTAACTTTATATAAATAATTGGACAAATTTTTTGCATTTTTTGATAATAAAATTTGTTTATTTTTTTCACTTTTCAGAGATACTTGGACAGATTGCATGCTCTGAACCGAGTATATGGCTTAATTGCTTTAAGATTTGAAATTGTTATGCAACAAAAGTCTTGGTAAAATTTGAAGATTTAGTTATTTTAATATACTTTTTATTACAGTATTTTGTACATTATGCAAATGTAGTTTTTATTAAAAAAAATTCAGTGCGAAAAATTTTAAATAAATGAGCAAATAAGAAAGTAATAAAAAAGGTTTTTAATTGTGAGGAAATAACTACTACTGCCAATTCCATCTGATAAATTTCTTTAGTTATATTTCTATAAAAATTAACAATACAATTTGAATGAATATTAACTTTTTTAGAACACAACTGCATTTACCATTAGTACTATGGTCTATGAGCTTAATATTTATCTAAAACATTATTCAAGGCACATAATATTAAGATCTGTACAGTATATTAATGTATTATTGCAAGTATCAAATCCATGCCTTATTGATCAACAGTTACATACGCTGATATTTTTATTAAACAATGATTAATGTTTACTTCTAACTTGATCATTCTTTGTTATCTATCTCTACAATTTTTGTACGTCTAGTCTCTTTACATCAAATACTGCCATTAGAAAATACATTATAGTACACTAGATGCAAATAAAGAGTAGCTTGATAAAAAGTATGTTCAAATATTTCATATTTCAATAAAAATTTTTAAACGAAAAGCATTTGATAATTCAATCGTCCACGTACTTTAACCGAACTATTCACTGTCGTAAGACTGAGAAATGTGCTTTTTTGGGCCTTGAAATGTGCCATAATATTTATTAGAGATACATTAAATGGAAAAACTCTTGACTACTTTATGCTACTACTAATTTTTTCACTTTCTATTATGCTAATTGTCAAACAAATGTAATGACACACAGCATATCGAAGTATACTATTACTTTATACTAAGAGTATGTAATGTTCAACATTTATGTTGAGTAGAATCAAATTAAAGTTTGTACCATCTTTAAATAATTGGAAAACAAAGAGAAGAAACGAATACTAGATATGATAAGAATAATTATAAGATATCGAATAACACACTGTACTGTCTGTATATTATATATTAGGACGCTATTTGTGGTATAATAGCTTTTATGTGATAAAAGAGAACTATTAACATTATACAGCTGTTTGACCAATTCTTCGATAGAGTAACATTGTATAGCTTGATCACGTTTTGTGTATATAAAAGATATTATTTGTTATATTGTAACTTAGTTATTATATAACTGAGAGGCAAAATGGTCACTAAACAGTAACATTCATATAATTTATTTTACAATTGTACACAAAAAATAATAAAACATAAATGTGTTAATTACAAGTTATAACACAGATACTGTTTCATTTATTGTACTGTTATGCTTTAGTTTGTTAGTTCAAAGTACAACTTGTAAAAAATATGTATAAAGTAAAGAATTATATACCAGTTAATATACTATTGCATCTCTTACCTTACTAAATTGTCCAAGTAGATATTTCAAAATATTAGGTGGTGCATCGTGTAGTAAGGTCTCCAATGCTTCAATATACATGCATCGTTGTAGTATTTGCTTTAGTGTTACATTACATTTCAGTTTGAGATCCTGTGAGCTACTTGGATCATTATAAAGCTGAAAATTATACGTAAACTTTATAATATTGCACAACTAAAAGTAATACAGAGTAAACAACATTGAATTGTACTTGTAGTAGCTTTGGAAGAATATTTGCAGCTGCAACTGCTTTTGCGTGCTCTGGTGTGTGTTTACCAATTTGACCAATTGCCCATGTGGTGATTGCCAGTGTATGTTCATCCTTTTCTTCGTGTAATACATTAGCTAATTGAATAACTCCCTGAAGTGAATATTTTTAATTAGAGTATTTTAATAACAGAAGTACTACTGTGTCTTACATTAGATCCGATAACTGCAATAGCTAACTGATCGGAGTGTCCAGCAATATAACCAATTGCCATAATTGCTGGTAATTTGGCTGTTAATTTTGATGTATTAATTAATTCAACAAGTGCACCGAGACCACCAATATTTACAATGAGCTGGGCCATCTAAAAATAAATATAATTATTATGTGATTAAAAGATTGCAATCTGATTACTTTACTTCTATTGTATGCTTGCAAATTTCTCTGGTTAGTGTTGCTGCAGCTTTAACAACACATTCATCAGGATGTGCCATATGTACAAGAACATCAGGAAACACCTCAGCTTCAATGATAGATTCTGCCAGGTGTACAGAGTGTTTTGCTATACTGCTCAATGCAGAAAGGACTTGACGCTATATATATCGTTAAGATTAAGATTATATTAAAAAATGATACAATATCTACTTCTATTTCACCTTTAGCTTAGCATCAGGATTAGATAATGCTTTTGCAAGAAAAGGAACAGCTCCAGCATCAACAACAACTTCTGCAAGATCTTTATCATGTTTGCTTATGTCACAAAGAGCAGATGCACCAATTTGTTTCAAATATAATTCCGGTTCTTGCAGACATAGAACCAAAAGGGGAACTGCACCTGCGGTTTATGGAATGGATGTGTAAACTTCTATTTAGACTATAATTACTATGGTAGTAGGCCTATGATAGTATACCTGCATCAACTGTAGCTTGAGCTAAATTTTGATTGTGCCTTGCAATGTATCCTAATGCCCAAGCTGCAGCTTCCTTCACAACAGCATCAAAATCTTCTAAGCAAAGTATAATGATCTCCAATCCATTACTTTGAATTATTACAGATGCTAATTCAGGAGAATGCTTTGCTATTGCACGAGTAACAAACAAAGCTGCTTTCTTATAAAATTTCTGAAACAAATGTTACAACACAAATCATGAAAGAGGAATACATTTTTTACATAGTTAATATACGTATAATTGTTGTACATACGTACATTTTGTTTACCAATATTTTTCAATAATTGAGGTAAGATATCTTTCCTTATAATAGCTTCAGCCAGCCTATGGTCATTGTTTGCTATTTTTCCTAATGCTATAGCTGCCATATGTTGAATAGAAGGCACAAGATCTGTGAGTAAGGGACGTAAGAGGTCTAAAACTCCAGCAGCTTCTAAACATTCTATATTGTTTGGTCTAGAGGCATAATCAGCGACAGATTGCACGAAAAGTAGACGAGCTTTTTGATACTGATCGAAAACTGTAAAAGAAATTTTTGTTTCATACAATTCCACAGTTTTACACAAATGCTTCAATCCCGCAGTCTATTTATTACAAATCTTGCACAAACTGTCATCGCGATGGACCGTCACATTTCTTTGAGAAACATTGTTCGTTGTAACGCTTTAAACAGTAGGTACCTTGTAAAATTGAACGTGCTGTCATTTCGTTTACAAAAGGATTTTAAACATTATACTATAATATTCAGGCTTCTAATGCTTTCTTGGTTGCTTTTATGAAACTATCGTATGTTTGAAAACGAAAAACTGCCGCCTTTCGCGCACGGTATGTATAGCGCAATGATCCTAAATATAAACAAAAATAAGCAGGTGTTTTGCTTGAATGGAATAGCGTACCAACATGAATTGTCGAATAGAAAAATATTGTAAAGAAATTTAGTTAGATATCACGATTTGTATTTGCATTTTAATATTGAATACTAAAATTATTATCTACGTTGAAAGATGACTGAGGATTTGTTAATCAAAGAGAAAGGATTTCGTCAAATGAACAAGGAAATCGAACAGAAGGCTCATGATTTAATGAAAAATATAGACCATGTTATAAACACGTACAATGATGAGTGTTCCAATTCAAAAATACGATACAGAAATTTTGTGAATGAACAAACCGAATTTTCAGAAAATACAATAATAGTAGGAAGAGATAATTTACAGGTTTCAGTTAAACGAAATACATCCTTGCCATACATATTTGATGAAGTATCTTCAAAATTGTAAGCAAAAGATCAATAAGTACAGTTGTTTACCCGTGTTATATTTACTTCAAAATAGTATTTTACATTTATGTTAATTTTGTAAAATATGGCGACGTAAATTTGTACTTTATTCCGTAAGTTCTTTTTTCAATTCATATCATATCCAATAGGAAAATAGAAGCACAGAAAGATCACAAAGGTGAAGTATGGAAGAAAGGAAATTTAGCAAATGCAACCATTGTTAATCTATTTAAATCGAAAATAGATATATTACAGAAGGAATTGCAAACATTGCAATGTGAATACAGAAAGAAGGTAATTAAAGTTTTATGAATAAGTAAGAACAATTTTTTACCAATTTATAATTCATTTTATATTGCAGTGTGATGTTTACAAGGACTTGGAAATTGAACATAAAAAATTTGAAACAAAATCACAGAATGAAATAGAATCACTGAAAGATATAATTACAAAGTTAGAGAATACAAATAAGGAATTGCAGTGTCAGTCTTTGGCATTAAATAATGAAAATTCAATTATAAAAAAGGTATCGAATTGAGAATAGATATAAGTATCATTTTATGAGTTTTTAATGTTTAACTTTTAATAGGATTTAGATAAACTACAGAAACAAATAAAAATATTGAGTCAACAGTCAAATAATTATAGTACAAGATTAAACAGATCTTTAGAAAATAATGATAAACTCAGAAGTGTACTTAAATGTTCTCAAATAGAAGAAAAGGTATATTTCCCCAAAGTATATTTAATACAAATTAAAAATTATATTACTTTAGATATTTATTTAGCTTGATGTATGTTTAGGAATTGAGAAATCAAGTAAGGAAACTACAGAATGATAAAAGACTTACAGTGAACAATCTGGGGAAACAACTTTCAGAAATAGTCCATGTATTTAAAAAACAAATGTTAATTATAGATAACTTAAAGAAGCAAAACGTGTGTATATGTTATATATAGTGTTGTACATAATTGCAGCAAAAACCTGTTCTATTTCTGTATTACATTCCACAGGCATGCTTAATTGCTATTGGGCAACTAAGATTTACAAAAGAGGATTTTTCAAGATTATTGGATCAAAAACCCGACTGCTTATGATAAATTGTATATAAAACATTTATTGAATGACTGCTACAATTTATACACTGTGAAAGATGGAATAATTCCATTTCATAGCCACAAATATTATACAATTTTATTTTACAACATGTGTTCCTTAACAATACTCTTCACAGAAAATGGGTTTATGTGTTTTTATTTCGTACATTACCTGTCAGAATATCATGAATTTTCAAAATCTAATCTGTAACTTAAGCCTTTACAGTAGACTTTATTTCCGCTTTTAATGTTTTCTTATTCGAAATAAATATGATTTTTAAGTTACGGCATAATCGTAGCAATTATTTGATTGTGCTATACAGAATAGTGATGATACTAAGAACAGTTCATAGGATCTATAACAAAAGATTGCAAAGCAAATTGTAATAGGTGGGTTTATGGATCACCGTGGAAATCGTGTCTTCTAATGAAATTCTGTTCTACTTTTCAAAAATGATTTGATACAAAATTACAAGAAGATGCACAATTGATTTCCATTGCAATTGTACAGAATCAAAAGTTTCCATTTTACACAACATTAAATGATTTTTTCAATTTATTTACACGTAAATCTTATCTTGTGCATGAGGAATAAAAATTGACAACAATGAATTGTATCTGTATGTACAAAAATTCAAAATGTTAATATGCTCCACAGCTCGCATGCGTAAAATAATCGTTTAGATTTTATCCGTACACGATAAGTACACGTTAATGGGAGAAACATTAAAATTTAAAGTGTTGAGACATTTCAAAAAACATCGATGTTATTCTCAATTATGTTATCCATGGATTTTACAAATCTTAATCCTGGCGGTAGAGAATTTTGTATGCTCTAGATTAAATAATGTACCGTCGTACGTTTCCTAAACCTACAAGAATAATCGAATCTAGGATTTTTCATATAGAATTAATTAAACAATTTCAATACTATAAAAAATTAATTAAGACGATTTATGTATCCGCATCCTTTGCTCAACGCGTCCTGCACAACCTACTTTGAACAATTTAATACTTCACTGTTTGAATTCATACTACTTTTTATTTAATAAAATACATTAAGTTAATATTTTTCTTTTGTAATTAAATATCAAGATATTACTCACCCCCAAATAAGTTGTAATATAACGTTTTTCGCTTTTTTCCGATTTTTAATTACAATAACTTTCAGTTCGAAACTCGTGCTTCTCAGACTTTTTACATGTTGAGATTTTATTACTCAACCCCAAAATGATGATAATATTTCCAAGCATTAAATTTATTTAATCGTATATACTGTGGTTTACTATATCATTCTTATAATTAGTGGCATTGATACATTAACAATGATCATTCAATTAGTAATGTTATATTTAAGCCACTTCTTGTGCCTGCACTCAAAATTATAGAACACCACAAATTTCCTTTTCACTTTATATTGCACTGTGAATATCTAATGCGTTCTAATTACTAAACGATACAACTTTGAAGAAACCATTTGAATAATTTGCCTCAAATATTTGACACATCTAGCATCAACAAGGAGAATTCATTAGTCTCATATTTGAAACACCATTTTCTCTTAATAAAGAAATAAGCTTTTGAAGCTTTCGGTACAATGTATACAATACACATGCCTTAGTCAATTCATTAAGATCTTTACACAACGAGTCATGAATTATTCAATTGTTATTCTTACACGAAATCATCTATAAAAGCAATAATTGTATACTTTTTCGAGGTCTGCCAGCCATCTGATTGATTAATTCATTTTAAATTGAGACTGCTCTGAATGAAAGAACAACTCAATTCTTACATTGCTAGGGCAGTATTTATTCACTGGTACAAAATTTTGTTCCTTATACACGTGAGTACTAGCGGGACTTCACAATTGCTAAAATGCATTACTACCTATGTGCTCGTTCGAGTTTTACGACATGTCTCGTATTTTATAATACAAATAGCTGAAATTACATTTCATTTTTTTTTATATTACATGCTCAAAAAAAAACACAGTAGAATTACGTGCCTTACGCTGTCAAAAAAAGCAAGGAAATATATTTTTCTGTAGCAGCAGCAGCAGCTGTCCATCATTTTTTAATAATGCAACTAATGATGTACTTTGATTTTTTTTTCTTTTTAATAGTTATTTATTCACAGAATATATTTTCTCATTTTACTTTTGTCACAATTAGTCTCTTATTTTTGTCTCGTTTTGTTAAACGCTTCCGATGTCAAGAATATTGTTTTCATTATTATTATTGTTTCTAATGATTTGAACTAAAAAAAACTGTCCACTCTAAAATAACTTATATCAAAGGCGGCACAGACAGTAACACACCTAGCAGCTTGACTATGAAATGATTTTATTAACATATTATAAAAACCACTCTAAATGCGACCAGAGGGACAACATGGTACAAGGACATCCATGTACAAGGAAAATATACGAGTTTCAAAATATGAGACTTAAATAAATATTGTGGCAGTATGTAGCAATGAGAGTGCAGAGTCATCTTTCTTTCGCGCGAACGGTTGCTGATGTATCGTTGTCCTAGAGCAACTTGATCATGCCAGGTAGCTATAAGTGTCCTTTTGACCCTCTGTGCGCTCCAGATATTCTTTCTCAATTAAAATATCTATACATTTCTGAAAGAGCAGAATCATTTTGCATTAAGACTAAATTCTCCTTATTTAGAATAGTGTTGAAGCAACTGAAATCAACTCGTTGACATCATGTTACAAGAAAACGGTAGAGCAACAAGTTCAATCATTATTTCATAAATTCTTATTGTTTCGAAGTGGTTCTGAAAATATTGTCGAGGAATTGTTATACATACTTACCTTAATAATATGTACTCTTGGTTTGAACCTAGAGCTTAACTGATTCAATACTTCAGCCACAAGTTGCTGATGCTTTGATACTTTCCTCATTTTCATAATCCTAACAATTGCTGCCTGAATCAAGAGTTTTCTATCTTCCTCTATGTGTTTATGCGTTGTTTCTTGTTCAATTTTCAATTCCGTTTTCATTGGTATATTAATATTTACTCTCAGTTTTTTGCTATTATAAGAATAATATACCCATAACAATCTTAGACAAAATCAATACACCGTATAACTAAATGAACATACTTTTTATATCCTGTAAAAAGTTCCACTGTTGTCGATGGAGTCAATTCAGTTTCATCGTCTGTCGTCACTGATAACAGTTTAGCTTTCAAGAGTATTTGAATGACCTACAATATTACAAATATTCATTAGTGTTTCTCCCCTTTGTGACGCTTCTTTTTTTAACGGTAAAACATACCTGGAACAAAAAGTCCATTTTTATTTGCGTTGCATCATGCAATTGTTGTATTGTCCACACTGTGGATCCATTAAATTGTAATAAAATAGCCATTTGAAAAGTAGATGCTTGCAATGTGTATCTGCAATTAAAATGTCAATTGTGAATACTTATTCGTAAATACAATTTTATCAACATTTTACATTTTTTTTCCAGATATATAATTACCTATTTTTAAAACAATTTGTATGTAACTCTCCTTTAGACATATTATATAGCCAATTCAACTTCCTTCCGCTATGCTGTGAACTATAGAAAGTGGTAAACCTATGTACAGATCGTTCTAGCTGCAATGTACAAACGTTGTATTAAGTACTCGTAATATATCGAACTTTAAAGTAAGATGTTTCGCGATAAAATTTACCTCGGTTGGTTTGTCTTTTAAACTGCTCATTTAGGTCCTTGGACACACCAATATCCTGTGGACAGATTGCTACAATTGTAATGTTATATAACATTGGAAAATTTTAATATGCAGTAAAAAACTCATTTCCTACTGGAAATATTAAATTTGTAACAACATGTGAAATTAATTCATAAATGTACATGATTGACACGATTCTACAGCTAAACACAGTACCTGGAACATTCGTTGTAATTTGGAGGTGTATTCAAAACCACAAGCTTGTTTTAATTTAGAGATCATAGAAGCCTCTGCATCGTCACTGGCCGACATATGTTGCACCAATCGTTTTGCCAGCATTTTACTATAGAACTTTTGAAAAACATCTTTGTCTTCAATGTATTTAAAAACTACCATCTATAATTGAAAAGTAATAATAATAACACCATTTTACAATAGTTCTCATTCTACTCTTAATTTTACTCACAACTTGATTAAGTGTATCTTCAAGTTCTGCTTCCTCAGGATTTTTACTACTCTTTTTCAACAACAAATCGCAATATTTTGCTAGTAATTCTGGTGATTTGCTGCTACTGTTTGCTGCTCTAGTTATCGAATTATTATTAATAAATCTTCCACAAGCCTTATCAAGAGCTGCCACAAAACCGCTATCATTGTTAAATGCAACAAGTACTAAAGCATTGTACTTTTTATGAATTTCTAAAGTTGTGTTCACATAAAGCTTTGGATCCTATTATAAAAGAAATTACTATCAATCATTAGTAACATAATCACAGTGCCTTATGAATTAGTAGAGAACATACGTTAGCTGCAGCTTCACCACATTTATCAATAGCTGCAAGTCCTTGATTGGCTATATGATTTTCCAAATGACTTCGTAATTCACCAAGAGCATTTGGTATCCTTGCTGCCAGTTGATACATACGACCTAAATCTGCATTTTTGTCGGAACTTAAAAGATTTTGAAATTCAGAATGAAATATGTCTAAATGCTTTTCAATTAACACTTTCTCGCATGTTTTAGCCAATCTGTCGCAAGTGGTCTGATGCAAGTAAACGTGAACTCGTTTACGTTCTTCTAATAGCCTTTGCTCCACCTGTATTAAAATAGAAATTCCAAGTAATTTGTATAAAAAATATAAAAGGGTTATAGAAATTTTCTCTGCAAACCTTTTTCATATATTCTGTTACTGGATTTTGTCTAAGGAATTCTGAACTTTCACGGGTGTAAAACCTTTCTGTATCCTCAAGGAAAATATTCTCAAAAGATTCCTTGTAAACAGTCAGATTATGTCCTTCCTCGTTTAAACCCAACTCTACATAACAATTAATTACACCACTAACTAAGCGCGTGTTTATTGTTTCCCCATTGCGTTCTCGTTCTATCAGCTTCAGCACTGCATTTGTAACCTGAAGCGCATTATTTATAATGTTGATACTACTTCTCCTACGATCGAATATAATCGACAGATAGCGTTGAATGCCTTACTTGCTTATTTAAATGCTTGAATAAGTTTTCTCTCCATGTCACCAAAGCTAACTGATAAATTTCATAAACGTGTTTACGTCCTTCGTCACTTTCTCTACGTACCCAGTGACGATTCAGATACGCGCATACGCCATGTAAAACTTTACTACTAAACTGATACTCCTCCCACTGCCTTGTATAGAATTGCAGCACATCTTCGTCCATCAAGTCTACACCATGCTGTACCAAGGATAATCATATGGATAAATTAAACATGTTTCTTCTTTTCAATTATTGAACGTAAATAATAATTCAAATAATGATCACCTTCAATAAACTAATGAGATAATTTCTAAGAAAGTCACGTAAACGTTTATATAATTCCAATCCAACTAACTGTGCACCTCCTTGAGAAATTTGTCCTTTCTTGCTTTTAGTTGATGTTCTATTTACTTGTTGATGAACACTCGTACAATAATCATATACATGTCTGATGGATTACATAACGTATTAAGGAAGTTACTAGATCATTTATAATTATGGTGTCCTCAATCATTTCTATGGGTATAAAGGATACGTATACAGTTCTATGTATCTTGGTTTAGACATGCATTGTCTGTTATAAACTTGCTCAATGCCCTCTCGAAGATCTCCCCAGATTTGATCCAAATCTATTTGCCTAAGACCCAAGGAGCCTCCATGATGACTCCCAGACCCTCCACCTGCTCTATACGCTGACATCCTATTTCTATACGCTTGTCGAGTGAGCGTCACTGTTACTACTTCCTACAATAATTTCTGTTGAAAACACATAGAAGTAACAATTGTATTAGATCTCATACAAAATCAAAAGTGGATACACAAGGATCAAGGAATTGAAACAAATATCAAACAATGATGTGTACAGTTTTACTTTCATTTGCATGAAGGTACGCCTTCTTGGTCATTTCCTTCAATAGAAATTGAACGACAATGAGAATGAAAAACAAAGACAGAATCAGTTGCTGCAATTAATCTTTAGAGTACATTACATTCAGTGGTCCCAACAAGCTACCAACAGTTTCACAATGCTGATGTCACAACTACTTGCTTATGCACATACTCGGGCTGTTGAAAAGTGCTTTGTATAACTATAAATAAAACTGTGTGAAACATTTTTTTTGCGCGTGTGTACGTCGAATGTTCGGAGAGAGCGTTTATAGGTTCGACTGGATATAAAAATATCTGTGAAAGAATCGGTCTCAATGGAAAGGATTAGCCAATAATTGGAGGTCCCGTACCGAAGTGGTTACATCAGGATGTACATCGTTAGTGGTAGCTCCGATCTTTCGTCAGGGAACATCGGGAATCTTGGTGCTACGACTAGTACCCGTCACTACTGGAAGTCGAGAAGAGAAGCAATCGGCAGAAAATAACACCCACCGTAGCTCGTGACCATCCGAGAATATGCTTTTTCGTAGACAAAACGAGGGAAGTGTATCGTGAGACGGAAAACATATACTCACCTGTCGACGTTCACCACCGCATAACAGGCAGGGTTGGACAAGGGAGTTCTCGTGAAAATTTGGTTGCCACCTTCAACGATCACCGCTAATTCCGCTCTACATACGCATTGATGGGGAATGATCACTACCCTTCGCTTATTATTTTTGTGCTGTTCACGGTGACAAACACAGCAGATCCACAAACCTAAAATGTTGTATCCTACGTGCCCAAAACTGATCACGGTTGTGATCTGCTGTTCTGACAGGTTAGGTGCCACTGTTGCCAACGAAACGTCGCGTCAACGTTTTTGCAAATCGTTTCTTTTCTTATAGATTCACGATTGATTTTACGATAATAAAATTTTTATTTTGCAACATTTTCTTCCTATGTTGAATTGTTTCACGATTAGTAACTGTAAATAAAGCTAGTTAACAGAAAGAATAGTAAGTCGATAATTTTTGAAAATGACAACGAACATCCCGAAAAACGACAGCATTTCTTATTTTATGGTGTGGTAACAATGCGTGTAAACGCTGTGCGAACATTTAAATAACTGTTAATTTTGCATTATGCGAACATTCGTTGATAATTCACTTTTGTCAAATATCTGTGGCTTCAGTATTTTTTTAAGCTATTTATTTATCATGTTTAAGATACTTACTGGTGCTTATCCAGGATTCCTATATTTTGTTCAGAAAGATATAACTAACATGTATAATTCACAATATAATTAGAAAACTTTATTTCATTTTATTTAACATTGAGGTAATATTTCCATACTAATCATTTTTATTCATTTGCCTACTTAAGAAAAGAATATATTAAACCTAACAAATATACAAAGAATGTGTTGATGGATGAATGGGAAACCCATATTGGAAATAAAAGGGAACAATTTGTATTTATTGCCACAGTAAACTGAAAAAGTAAATGTGATAATATAGCATTATTTTAAAAAAGAAATACATCATTTTATATTACAAAATTTTAAGCAATACTTACTTCATTAGCTTCAATTCTGGCATGCCTGGATCAGCACCCTTCCTGAATCCTGTGAAAATAATTATTTAATTATTCGCACTATTTATCGTTTTTATTACGCCATTTTCAGAATGGGCGGATACAATTCTGTTTGTAACTATTAACAAAAAATCTGAAATAAAGTAAAGTAAAGACTAACCTAAAAATAATATTGTAGGTATAAAGCCCCAATGGAATATGACTTTGCCTACGTCTAAAACGATTGCAATTTTTTGTTTTGTACTCGGACTTAAAGCCATTTTCGCAAAATTCTTTTGAATTCCAAAAATACCACGTGTAAAACGTTCAAATTAATCTTTGCCACAGCTGGTCACAGCGGTACCGTCGTTTTCTCCAGTTTTCCCCTCGATTATTCGATTATTTTTGATCGCCATAGATGATAAAACAGTAAAGATTGAACGCTTAATGAAACTGGTCTGCGGTCACTGTTTTTATGAAAACGAGTTTCGTTTGTTAAAAACGAGACTGTAGTATTCCCCAACGATCCTATCTAGTAATTATGTAGTTTATGTTTATATTTTGACAGCATCAACTGTCATGTGAAAGTATTGTTTTGTCCAATTTATACTTTTTCAATGGTAATTTAGTTGCTTAACACTTGTTGTTTGGTGTATATACATTACAAAAAATTCAGTTTTACCTGTAATTCTGTTTCAGATTTCCTTACATTATTGCATTTGGGGCTTGTGCGAATCGTGGGAGTATTGTTGCGGCGATAATGAATGCTGTAAGGAGAGTGATCTTAATTCTTTACTTGTGACGTATGTTCCTTGTTTAATTTTATCACTGTACATGTCAAAGTATGCGCAATACTATTAACAAATAACATTACTAACAGGGCTATCATATTTGGAGCACTAATTTTCGTCGCACTTTGCTGCGTCTGTTTCTACTGTGGCTCACGTCGGAATTATGCACCATTTCTGAAGAGATATCTCAGAATTAGTTACACATTAATGTCTTCGCAGGGAGGAAGTAAAACAATAAATCAGGATACAACAGCTAAAGACTGTGTTGTACAAGTAGAAACAACAAAGGTGTCTTTGTAGTAGGCATTGTTATATCCCATTTTATAAATGCAACGGGAAAAGGACATGAACTTTTTTATGCCTTCTGGAACAATAAAACTTATGTTGATAAGTAGTCTATTGATAAGGCACTAAAATGTATTCCTCATGACTTTGCAAGAAAAATATATTTTATAATGATATAAAGTGATTCCGATATATTTTATACTCACTACATTGAAAACGAATTTTAAAGCATTACGTCGCATAGCTCTGAAGTTTCATCGTAAGAAGCGACGTTCCAGGCGCACCATCCTGACGGTTTACTCGTGTTGGCAGCGCTGCGCGCAATGACGTCAGTGGAAAGCTCCGAAATTGTAATCAATAAGTGGTGTTCAATGTTGTGTGCACATGACAGTAGTCGGAGCGAAATGGTGATTATGTCAAAACATTCTACCGAAGTGGCCCAGTTTTCCTCGCCAGGAACGAAAGCGTGAATGTTTATTGAGAAGATGGCGCGGAACACTAAGAAAAAGTTGGCGATATTCGCCGGGACGTCCAAGTGTTTGATATACGTGAGTGATTCCTTCTCCTTCGTCTTTGGTATCGGTTACTCTGAAACGTCTAGCAAATAGTCAAATCACTTTTGTTTTTCAATCGATCCAATCGAGTGAAATTGTTTGTGTACTTTTCGAAAAATATTTTCGAATAAGATCGGTGCGCCCCGTTTCGATCGATCTCAAACACGCGAAAACTGTATCTCGTTACTTGACGGTAATCCAACAACAATCTCCTTTTCCTCTTTTCTATCGATTATCTCATCGTAAGTCCACTAATCGACTTAAAACAATAACTTCTTTTAGGCAGAAGCAAAATATTGTGCCTCTGAAATGCCTGGAGAAATAAAATACTATGAGTGAGTTTCCCAACACGTAAATACGTTTATTCTATATGGCAAGGACACAACTGTTGTAACATGGATTTACAATGTCCCGATTAAGAACAGTTCCGAAGTTGAACTTATCTTTTACACATGTTGCGACATCTATAAATAAAATTGCAAATATTTGCGGTCTTTCGGTAGATTCCAAAAAGCAGTTGAGAATCGTAATCCCGATGATATTTGAATTTTCAATTTTACGACGATCTGTCTTGCATTCAGTATAACATTCATTCGCGAGGCCGTATAACGACGACTAAAGTGGTTCGATCTGCTTTTGCAATCATTTTAGGTGTTCTAGAACGGAATATTGTTGCGGTATTGGTTGTTGCGTGTCGCCTGGATTACACTTCCATCATTTATGGTATTACTGGTAAGTTCGTACCGTTTCACCACGGATACGTTATTTTTTTACTTTAAAATTCGCGCTGTCTTCGGCTTCAGGATACTGGTTATAATCATGTTCCTGGTGTGTTCCGGCGTTGGTTGGTGGTATCGATATTGGTTGCAAAGGAGATACAGAACAGCCGCGTCGGCTATACCAAATAGAGCTTCCAATCCACGGGCTCACAATTCTATTCGAGGGCCAACTTGTCAGGGTCAGAGGGCACGCATCACCTATAATTCGGCTCGAAACACCGTGTTATTACACCGTATGTGGAAAGGCTAGTACGCTATTTCAATCAACCGTGTTTGATTCCGTCTTTGTGCGTCAGATTATTAACCGTTAAAGCTTCAACCAAACTGTTATGCGTCCTATGAATATACTTGTAACGACGTCTTGTGTCTGTAGGTCCTCAGAGGAATGGAGCAGTGCCCGCGTACAACGGTAACGCGACTACTTCGTCGCACTATCATAACATGAACGTCGTGTTGAACGACGCGAACTGCCCGTATGATCAATTGTACGGTCCACCGCCGAGTTACGAAACTGTGATAGCCCAGACACGCGGTAAGATATCAAATCCAGCGTCGCCTGAATCGTCGGGGGCTAGGATCAACGGGCAGTCGCCGAGCGTTCTGTCGAACCCTGCCGCACCGCAATGCTTCTCGTACGCGTGTACACCGTCGACCAGACTGAACGCCGGTATGGAGCAGAACGCCCAATATCAGAGCGGGAACGCGAGCCCCCGACATATCGACAACCCGGAGGCGATTCCGTTCGCACGTTTTCCGCCCTATTGCCTCGGGGACGGACCGATCAGGCAGAACGTATGTGTTCCTTTCAATTACCAGGAACAGCCTTTCGTTCCTGGGGATAGTTTCGCCCGTGTATATCAAGGTACCTCCACGAACTATGCTTCCTATCCGATGGACAAGTCGTCGGATACTTCGGACCCGGAGAATCAAAGTTACGAAGTGCCGAGGATGGAAAGGTACATGATGGTGAATATCGATTGTACAGCGGGTAGTAGCGGAGAGCAGAGCGTCTGGGAGTCGAGCGATCGATCGATCTCCAAGGTGCACGGTAGACTGGAGATAGGCGGGAGCGAGGGACTCGAGGATAACGGTCGTGAACATCAGCGACGAAACGCGACGGATACCGCCTCGGGATTGTTCGCGATACGCGAAACCGAGGAGAATTGCGCGAACGACTCGGAATCCACGATGAATTCATCGGAGGACTTCGAATCCGAGTTCTCGAGAAGCCGTCGGGTGTACGGTGGATCTTTGAAGGCGACCGGCAGGTACGCCGGTAACGCTAAATGCGAGGAATATTCCGTTCAAAGGGCTTTCTCGAAAACTATGCCCCACTCCTGCGAGGGACTTATCAATACAGAGCCAGCGACAGCAATCATCTGCGTGTCCCGCGACAACGCCAGTCCTCTAGAAGAAGACACGGCCGACGCCAGCGCGAGTTCTTTCCAATCAAATCCATCCAGCAATGTGATATTAGAGTCTTTCGTTTCCGATGGCGCATCGTCCTCGACGGAGTACGCCGAGAACGAGCGGGAACGCCGTTCATGTCTCGCCAATGCCAGTACAAATATTGATTTTGAAAGTAAACATAGATTAGACAGATCGAAATCGTTGGACTGAGCACCGTGCGAGTACTTATTCTTGTATACCACAATACCGTACGATTATTCTCGCGTGTATTCCGTTAAACCTACGATCGTTCCGGCCGACGACGCCGAACACGTTCCATCCCGCGATCGATGTAAAGAGACGAGCGCCAGTATTATTTTTTTAAATGGGATTCCTCCGATTATCGATGTACACTTGTCGAGTTTAAGAGAAACGTTCAACCGGTCGGTACAACCTACATGCTTGTTGATCCTGTCTATTTTTCAATTGATCCATGGTGTGCCCTTGCGGAACATCTTTGTCGTCCTCGCGCCGCGTTAAATTCTAAAATGCTGTGATTCGAGAGGCATGGGGAAAAAAAAAAAAAAAAAAAAGAATTTCCTAATCCGCCTGGCGATCGTCCGTCGGCGGAGCACAATTTTCGTCGGTGAATGCATGCGATTATTGCCAGATACTACCTACATTTCGGTCGAAAATAACCTCGTCGGTCCGGTCCTCTGTGTTATAGTTTCTCAGTGAAGTGAACGTCGCATTCAGTTAACGCGCACCAACATTACGTTCACGGTCTGTCCCAGGTTTTTTATGTAACACGAATGGGCTCAACTAACTCCGGTTACGCACAAAAAAAAAAAAAACACCGTCGATTGACGCCGTACATGTTTCGTCCTCCTTACAATTTTAATATCGGTATGTCAGTTTAAAAAGAAAGAGAGAAACAGAGAGATAGAAAAAAAGCAAAGAAGGAAAAAAAAACTCGTTAGCGCACCTTTTTCTAATCTTCGCACATCGTTGCACCTTACGAGCCACGGATAAAGAAACTTTTTAATATCAGATGTATTCTTAATAAATATAATAGGGAATGAAGAATTTTATCGTACGACCGTCTCTCGCGTGTCGTGATTTTCTATAAACGAGAAACCACACAGTTAGCCCGGTGCTTCGAAACTTATATCAGGCGCAAAAGAAAAAGAATAGAAAAAAAAACGGAACAACCACACGCTTATATATGTTTTTATTCGTGGACCACACACACACACACGGATATACCGTTTTTTTTTTCGCGAGAAAAAAAAAAAAATGGATCGAGCACCGTTCGTACGTACGTTTTTCGTGTTTGCACGTTATAAATGCAATCTTCGATATTTAAGGATTATAAAACCGGATCCTCCTTCGACGCGCAGCAAATGTCGTCGCTGTTCTACCTTTAACAATTAAGGATATGTAATTTACGAAAGAGTCTCTAGTTTGTTTACGATTATAGTGTGCAGTTGCGGGGCTGGGAGAGGGAAACGGCACGGGGAAGGGTGGGGTGGGGGGGGGGAAATACTCTGTAAGATAAGAAGCCGAGCAGAAGCGAGGAGCGAGTACGCGGCGGGGGAAAAATTTCGGAGTCTGAATGGGGTAGGGGAAGTTACGTTCCGGTCCGATTTACGAGCAACACAGCTTGCAAACGCATCTTCCTTTTCATTGCTCTCGCGTCTACCATGTTTTCCAGATTGCGTACACTTGTTTCACGCTGTCCGAAGGATCACACGCGGATCGACGAACGTTTCCGCCGCCCGCTTGTCGATGAAAAAACACCTCGAGAGAACGCCGATCGCGGCCACGGTTGGTTTTTAATTTTTTTTTTTTTTTTTTTTCTTGGGAAGGCAGCGAGAAATCGACGAACCGTCGTCGTAGCGTTTGTAATCTTTTCCATTTGGTTTTTCGATTCTAACTGCGGTCCAAAGAAACAGCGTACGTGCCAATATAACGTGTCCGTTAGATAAATTAATTAAATCGAGCCGAGCTGGAGCCGCTCTCGACGGTCTGCGTGACGTCGAGATGGGGAAGCTGAACTCGATCGCGCAGCCAAGGTGTTAGCTTAATGGAGAACAAAAAAAAAAAGAGAGGAAAAGTGAAAGAATATATAAATAAACACACACACACACACACACACACACACGTGCATACACACATATCTGAAATATATATACACAATTATTTTTTGTAACCGATCCTAAAGAGGGGACACGGGCTGTTTTCGCTGTCCCCGTGTGAACCGAGTAATTAAAAAGAAAAAAAAACGCATTAACGTTTAAAACGACAAATGTCGTTCCGCATCCACAGGGGAAGGGGGGTGGAGGGAAGATGTTCTATAGATTCAGGAATACCATCTATATTTTGTGTGCGTGCGTAGTGTCTGCGTGTTATACATAGCTTTAAACGATAATCTAGTCCGAATGGATCCTCTGACCGTAACGTGCAATCATATTCGTATTTCCCGTACTGTAAGATATATTGTACCTAACGGAGTGCCGGAGGAGGAATGTCTTTCTGAAATAAAGACGAAATATTTATTCACGTAAAGGGGTTGGTTCTGTATGTACATACATAAACGCTATTCAGACGATCCGTGGCGTTCTGTTCTGCTCTAACACGATCATATGCTTTTACACCTTGCGCAGCCGTCGCCGTTCGGTAGATTTCTCTGGTGGCGGTACCAACTAGTTGAAGCAAGTTTATATTTACACCTCTTGATCCTACAGTAACAGATGTAGTATGTTCAGAGAAAAAGATCGTGCCGCCATAGAGGCGACATGGTCTTTGAAGATAAATTTTCAATCGCAAACGGTTAATATCGTTATCGAATACCAATTGAAATCAAAACATTAAAATTTATTGACCTATCAATAGGCTTTTAAACTTCAAGAAATTGTTACGTTATTCAATTACAGCTTTTACTATTTTCCAGAGATCTAACTTGGTACTACGATCGAATTGTTCCTTGGCTGTTGATCATTGGATCCAGTGAACCTATTAAATATCAACCGGTAGATAATCCGTTAAAATGCAAGAATGCGGATTCCGTTAAGACTGTAAGACCAGACGACGATTCACACCAAAACATTCCTTCTGTTTTCTGTTCTTTTGTTTTTCCAGTTTCCCCACGCCCCGTTATTTCCTGGACTAAGTTACTGCGGCACGGTAACCCGTTACCGATCGCGCGAAATTCGGTTGGCTGCTGTCTCGACGTAAATCGAAGGACACGCGAATCGATTTCAACGAGCAAGGACGCCGTTGAATATCCCGTTTCACGATTAATCACGACCATATATTATGGCACGCTTTTATCAACGGGCGGCGCCGATAATGTGTGAACGGGTAAACGTCGAGGCCCGCGATGGTAAACGGCACTCGATGGCGCACGGGACGACGGTAAGAGATGGCAGGTGCACCCGGGGACGGGCGGAAATCAATATGACGAGGAGGATCGGGTAGAGGGGTGTTCGAGGTGCGTCGAAGCATCCCCATGAGAGAGAGAAGACACAGGCCAGGCGAACGTAGGGACAGAGAACGGTTGTACAGGCGGTCTCCCTGCGAGCTGTGAGAAAAACGTAGCCTGGAAAAATGTCATAGTCCCGTTCGTGTACGAACGTAGTTACGTGTCCACGCCTTCCTTTTTCCCTCTCTATCTATCTCTCTTTCTTCCATCCTCCGATCTTCTGTCCACCCTTTTCCTCCCTGTCGTCCTGGAACCACTACACCACCTTCGGAGAAAGCAAGCCTCGCTCACCTCTACCCCGGCGGTATAGTGAATCAATAATTAAAGTGATAGTGCGACGATTACCGTGGTGGGCAAGATGTCGGTGAAGGTGAGTGAGAAATTCAAAATAAAGCTCCGAGATTGATACGTTCGGACGAGTGGTCTCGAGACATTCCGTAGATTGTATTTTCCCTGACTCGGTGTAATGTCTTCTCGCCTATTACCTTGGTACATGTTATGTAATGTCGAACGAATGATACTTCGGTCAGCGGATTTAGCCGCTCGAAACGCACGATTTTCTCGAGAATGTGTACCGAATACACAGTTTATTGTAACTGCGTACACCACGATCGATTTTATTCAGATTGGGTGGTTATCTTGTTTCCGGACAACGGCCGCGATTGTCCCGTGCAACGGGGATTCGTTATCGATACAGACTTCTCCCGTTCGCTAATTTTTTTTTTTTTTTTTTTTTTTTTTTTTTTTTTTTTCGAAAGTAGAGGATTACGTTTGAATGGTAAATCGAACAGGAATGATAGACGGGCAATAGATTCTGGATGGGCGTTCGCGCGATTTCAGGCTCGTGCGTAATTCATCAGTCGTAAAAACGTGTACGCCTATCGTCGATCTCGGGGCAATAATAACGGACACCGCATTATTCCAGACTGGAAACGCTTCTGTTCAGTTCAGAAAAGCCGTGTCGACGAAATAAATCTACGTACGTAGCGTCTAATCTTAGACAATTCTCAGGATGCTTAGTTCTCGAGCTTAGATTGCTCTGTTAGATCTTCGTTGCACGAGTTTAAATTCTCTCTCTCTCTGTGTGTGTGTGTGTGTGTGTGTGTGTGTGTGACCCTTAGCATTATGTTCTGGGCTCGCGAAACAAAAATGAAACGGCATCTACTATTCAGAAAACATTTTAATTGCATTAACGGCGCCACAAGTGTCCGTTTCCTGCCCTCCCGGAACGCGAGAGGCCCGAGACGAAAACTTGGCAGCACGATTTCATACGCGTGCGCCGCGTGCTTTTACGCGCGCTGTTCCCTCGTGTCTATCTCCGTGCACGCGTGCAGAGCGACGGTCTAACAGTTCGGGGAAGAGCTTCGTCGCGTTTCCGTCGCGAGACAGCTTCTTCTACGAGTTTTCCTACGTGTTGTCATCGATCTACTCGTCCGACTGTTCATCAAGTTAGTTCTACTCTCGCCGATTTATTTATCAAGATATAAGCCCTATATCTTTATATTATACATATAGGGGAATGTTGTCGAATTTGGACCATCGTCTAGGTTGGACCCATGTGTAAGCAATTTGTGTTGTATGATAGAAAATACGTATTGCTTATGTACAGGGTGAAAGGAAGAAAGGGTTGATAGCTTTTGGAGTAGATTGTACTCGTCGAATGATGAAAAAACGTCCTATTGAACATGGGTCGAAAAATTAATATTTTGAAAGTTATAAGCAATTTTCGGTTAAAGCGAATGATTATCTCGGTTCGGGAGCTATCGTACCGTGTGGAAATAACGAAGAGAATCTTTAAAAATACGTAATACGAATTTTAGAAGACCTTCGGTAACCTGAAAAAGAAGAAATGATAAAGTAAACCTTGTTTGCATACACCACGATAGCTCCGAAAGCGAAAAAGTAACATTGACAATAGTAATTTTCTGATCCATGTTAATTGGGACTGTTTTTCAACGTTTGACGAGTACTATCTACCCCAGAAATTATGCACCCCTTTTTTGTATCATCTTGAATATAAATTGCGAATTTTATGCATTTACAACGTACACACTTGTATGAAATTAGGTATAGCAAGGAGTTTCATAAACTTTAGTAAGAGTTTTATTTCACGTGACAGTTGATAGGGCCTTTGATACAATAAATAAACGTCTGTTTGTTCCTAGTTTCCACGAATAAATCTTTAAAGATTGATATTCGCATAAAGCTCCGCAGTCTATTTACATACATAGATAATATGTGTTGCTTATGTACTAAGTTAACGGCACCACTACTATCATACACATATTCTCTATCGTACAAATTGCTGTACACATGACAAGTTACGAGTAGTGGTCCAACCTATGCTAGATGGTCCAAATTGGGCACCCTTCCCCTAATAACGTCGACCCGCTCGAAAGCGTGCTTCCATTAGAAACGTTCGATTCCGATTCGATTCTCCAGAAGATCGATTCCCTCGGGTAACACGAGGGACTGTTCCATCAATCGTGAACTCTGGTCCCATACTTTTGCTCGTTAGTATATACGTTACACAGTGAGGTGTTACCCAAGGGAACCGATCTTCCGAAGAATCGAATCGGAATCGATCATCTCTAAGTTCCAGCACTTCTTTCCTCTTCTAATTCCACTGTCTAAACAACCGTATTATACCGTCGATTTACGGCCGGACGTTATCGCTGGCGTTGTTCGCCCCTTGCACTTCCAATTTCCATTTCGTTTCCGTTCCGACAATTAAAAATCGTTATCCGTAGCTCGACAATAAGTGGAAAGGTGAAAAAGAGAGAGAGAGAGAGAGAGAGAGTAGACCTCGTCGATTCCACGCTGAGTTTTTTGACATTGTTATCGAAAAACGCTTCTCCCGTCGTATCGAAACGTCTCAGCGATAACGCGTAATCGCGGTCGTCGAGTCGCGCGATTTACGTACCCGCTCCGAAAGCCACAGTCCGACGCACGGACCCGTCGCGTAAACTTCCTCCTCTGTGTACCTACTGGCGTTGTGTGGTTTATCGTGTACTCCCGGTTCGAGAGTGAACGTGATTCTCTCGTAAACGTCGGAAGATGCCGTCGTCTCTGCGTACCGAGACGAACCAACGGCCCTGGTATTCGATTTGGCGTAACGGCGACGCGAGGGTAACGTATTTTTAGTTTCGGTCTAAAACTGTGTCACCATTCCGCGGCAATTTTCGCCGACGAATTTTCCACTTTGCGTCGGGACTCGTCTCTCTCTCTCTCTCTCTCTCTCTCTCCCTCGAGTCTTCTGAATTACCATCCCCCCGCGACCCCTCTTCCCCTTCGAGTATCATCGTCACATGTCGCGACGGGTCGTCTGACGTTCGTCCGTTTCTGCGTCATAACCCGGGCGAAGACGTCGCTCGGTGGTCGGAAATCCGCGAAAACCTGACCAAACGAAGAAATTTCCAAAAAGTAGAAGCCAAAAGTAGAATGTTCGCGGATCGAGGGATTGAATTTTAAAAAGAAAAGATCACAGAATATGGGCATATTTTTTCCCAATTGTTTCATACTTGAACCGGTGGTAAAATTTGCAAAATAAAAATGCTATTAATACTTTCTATTGCATCGACACCCTCGCCACTTAATGATTCCTGATTTCCAATCACTGTGCATCGCGTCGATCAGAAAGTTGACTGAAAATCGCCATCAGACCTTCTTTTCACGTGAACGTTTTATCGTGTATAAACCCTGCGGTAATCTCAGGAAACGTGTTATCATTAAGATAATTCACTCGTGCACGGGATGCTATTCCGGTGGCTGTCTACGAGATCTATGAATTACTAATTACATTATCTCGCGTGCCTGAGCATTGTGTAACAGGGGAGCGTCTGTCTTCGCCATTTAGTCCTTTTTCTTTTCATTTTCGTTTCGAACATCCGAGTCCTCCTTGGAGAAGTGTTTTATGGGGGGAGAAAGGGAGAGAGAGAGAGAGAGAGAGTGTGTATATCCGGGAATGACAGCGAAGTGATGGCTGTAGGGGATGAATAAGTAATTATGGAATTTCCTTCCGCAGATGATGATGTACAAGCAGGCGGAGTTCGAGGACGAGGACAGCAGCAGCATCGGGTCCGGTGCGCCGAACGGCGAAGGAATCAGCACCTCTGCTACGCACATCAGATACCGTTCGGTACGTGTTTCAATCGTGTCGCTGTTAGCCAGGAAAAGTTTCTCATGTTGGGTTTCTGTGGACGTGTAAACGATACCGACGATATCCAATCAACATTGAAAATGGATCAGAGAGGCGTGTATCGCTCTTCGTTTTAATCGAAACTTTATAATTCGGGGAACAGACGTACCGATCGGATGGTAATACAAACTCCATTTCGGTCCCGAAACGGATAAGAAATGTATATTTTGTTATAAAGACGGGTATGCAAATACTTTGTTTCTTACTCACGATACGCAAGGTCACTAAAACGTTCGAATGTAACCTCGTTCTGAAATACAAAGGGCTTCCTTGTTTATAAAGAAACGAGTAAGCTGTTATTGGTTATCCGGTCGCGGGGGCAATAGAATGATTCTCAGCAATAAGACGGAGTCAACGTTCGACCGTTTGTTTCGCGCAGGGTACATCGCTGTGGCGAGCGAGGAGCGCGCTGGAGAGATGCCTGTTCATCATATGCGCGGGTCTGCTGCTGATGGTTGTGATGCTGTCGATCGTGATTAGCAGTAAAAACGGTTGGGACGAGGCGCATATACACCACGTGACGTCCCACGGAGAAGGTACCATATGAGATGTCTCTACGAAGCATTTCGGTTCTTGTTTGGAGAGGAAACATTCCCGCGAATCAGTGAAATAATTTTCAGATGGCACGCACTGTTTGACGGAGCACTGCGTGACCGTGGCGGCTTCGATCATAAACAGTATAGATCGTGCGGTGGATCCGTGCGAGGATTTCTACGAGTACGCCTGCGGCGGATGGATGAAGAGGAATCCTATACCGGATGGGAACAGCATGTGGGGAAAGTTCGATAAGCTCGAGCAAGACAATCAATTGGTGGTCAAGAACGTTCTTGGTAATTGTCTTTGCGATGGAATTGTTTGACGAATATATAGAAGGAGGAAGCGTATCCGGTGGTATCAACGAGTATCCTATTCTGTGTTCACAGAGAAACCGCTCAGCGAGATGAAGTCGAAGGCGGAGAAGAAGGCGAAGTATTATTTCCTCTCGTGCATGGACGCGAACGATACGATAGAGACCCTCGGGGCTAAGCCTATGCTCGAGTTGCTGGACACAGTCGGTGGCTGGAACGTATCCGGAAAGTTCAACGTGAGCGCGTGGTCATTGCAGATCAGCATGCACGTTCTCCAGAATGTTTACAACATGGACGGTCTGTTTACGTGGTCGGTGAACGAGGATGATCGAAATAGTACCAGGCACATCATACAAGTAAGGGAACGCCAGTAATTCACCTACGGGTAAATTATATGGATACCTACTCGTTTCGAGCGTGACGTGTTAACGAAAATCGAAACGGTTTATTTTGAAGATCGATCAAGGAGGGCTGGCCTTGCCGACCGCTGACAATTACCTGAACGTTACCGAGCACAGCAAAGTGTTGGTAGCCTATCTGGAGTACATGACAAAGGTACGACGGGAATCCGATAGTCGCGTAGGAGATAATCGCGAGATTGCGACTGTACTATCGTGTTTGGCTCTTGAATCGAGTACAGGTGCTCGTGCGTGTTTACAGATCGGCGTGCTGTTAGGCGGCGAGGAGAATTCGACCAGGAAACAGATGCAGGAGGTGATAAACTTCGAGACCAAGTTGGCGGGGTTCATGACACCTTTGGAGGAGCGTAGGGACGAGGAGAAGCTTTATAATTTGATGTCGTTGACCGAGCTCCAACACAGAGCACCTTTTGTACGTGATACATACGGTTACAATCAGCAGTCCCTCTTGCGATTCACGACTCAGAATAATAATCCACGCGATTCCAGATGTCCTGGGTGAACTACTTTCAAAACGCCACGCGACTGGTTAACAAGAAGATCAATAGCAAGACGATGATAGTGAATTTCGCACCAGAATATTTCGCGAAACTGTCGAAACTCGTGATCGAGTATAACAGCACGGACGAAAAGAAAATGTGAGTTCGCCGGGGTTGCTGGAATGGTTTTTGAAACCTGTCCATTGTTTTTCTCTTTCCACAGAGTGCTGAATAACTATCTGGTTTGGCAGACCGTGAGGTCCCTGACGGGCTATTTGTCGAAGCCGTTCCGCGAGGCTTATAAGGGTCTCCGTAAAGCTTTGATCGGCTCGGAAGGCCACGAGGAACAGTGGCGTTATTGCGTCAGCGATACCAATAACGCGATGGGCTTCGCGATCGGCGCCATGTTTGTCCGGGAAGTGTTCCACGGGAAGAGCAAACCTATGGTTAGTTGCGATACCCTCAGATTGAGATTTCATTCGGTAAATTGAAATCCCCATTTGCAGGCGGAGGAGATGATCGATGAGGTGCGTAAAGCTTTTACGAAGAATCTGAAGAATCTCGATTGGATGGACGCGGAGACCAGACGGTCTGCCGAGGAGAAGGCCAACGCTATAACCGATATGATCGGTTTTCCGAATTTCATCTTGAATCCGAGCGAGCTGGACGAACGGTACAGAGATCTGACGATCAAACAGAACGAGTATTTCCAGAATAACATACGAGTGAGCAAATACATCCTGAAGAAGAACTTGGAGAAGCTGAATCAGACTGTGAACAAGACCACTTGGATCATGACCCCGCCCACAGTGAACGCTTACTACAGGCCTACCAAGAATCAGATGGTGTTCCCCGCTGGTATTCTGCAGAGTCCGTTCTACGACATGGAGAATCCGAGCAGCTTGAATTTCGGCGGGATCGGAGTGGTTATGGGACACGAGTTGACCCACGCGTTCGATGATCAAGGTACACTAGACGATGTTCGTTGGAAGTTACCGTTTTGTTTTTCTTCTACGGTACAGTAATCGTTTGTCCCCTGTATCGTGGTTGTCAGGAAGGGAATACGATTTACACGGGAACTTGAATCAATGGTGGAACAACGCTACAATCGACAGGTTCAAAAATCGAACGGAATGTTTCGTGGAGCAGTACAGCAGCTTCGAGATACACGGCCGACACGTGAACGGACGGCAAACTCTAGGTAATGCGCTGTAATGATCGCTTTGTTATCCGAATGTTTCTGTGTATTAATCGACTCGATTAATAGGAGAGAACATCGCGGATAACGGAGGCCTTAAAGCAGCGTATCACGCGTACATCACGACACCGAAAAGCTACCCGGATCAGCTACCTCTACCTGGCCTGAATCTGACTCATCGTCAGCTGTTTTTCCTAAATTTTGCTCAGGTACTTCTGTCGCTATTCTCACGGTTAACATAAACTTAGACCAGAGACACACAGCTTTATCGCGACAATATTTATTTTAACAGGTCTGGTGTTCAGCTGTAACGTCCGAAGCGGTGTCCCTACAGATCGAGAAAGATTCTCACTGTCCATCGAAGTACAGAGTGATAGGGCCTCTACTGAATCTGCCGGAATTCGCCACGGAGTTCAACTGCTCGAAGGGGTCACGAATGAATCCGATTCACAAATGCGAAGTCTGGTAACGCGTCGTAACCTTTCCGTCAATCTGATTTCCGATACCGTGAACGAATCGTTCACGAGACATCGCGTGCCAGCGATCGCCACTTTTCGAATCGCTGGCATCTCGTACTTATATCAGTGAGCTGATCCAAGTTTGATACGGTGGTACAACACGGTTTGTGAGTTTTATTCGAACGTGTCCATTTCTGATACGAGCATGAGACATCTCGTATTTTCGACGACGAGAATTTTAACGGGCCGATCAACAACCAATTTCTATTTGTCGCACCGTTGATTTATCGAGAATGGACGACCAGGTTTGCAGCGAACCGAACCAGCGAATTCCGAATGTTTGCAACGAACGCCAATGGTGTAATCTTTCTATGTATAACAATCCTAGGTCCGTGATATCCCGATTAGGATCAGTCGAACGTCCCACGTGGCAGTGTTCCGACCGCATATCAAAGGCTCTAGGACCACTGTATGAATTCACTTGTTGTACGTATTTTTAGCTACTTTGAACGCGCTCCAGAATGCGCTGAATTTTTTTCCGACTAAGTATAAGCTTTCTCGCTCGCTCGCTGTGGTTCATCCGTGATCAGTCGGGCCAATTTATTCACCGAACCGACCGACACCGCACACCGTCATTTTTCACTTTTATACTTGGAACCAGTATTATTCGATTGTCAGTCGATTCGAGTATATACATACGTTCACAATACGAAAGGCTATACAGAAAATTTCCCGCGAACGCTCACTCACCAGACAGCCTGTACTGTTATTTCTCCTCCATAGGGCGGCGAGAGGCGAAGATAAAACTGTCGCTGGAACGGGGTCGCTGCTGTTCGAAGAAACGATCGACTTACTTTGTTCTTTTTTTGTTTCTGCTCGGAACCAGGGAGACGAATGAATCTCGGTCCCGATGAGCCACGGCGACCGGAAACGCGTGGCCGTAATTTCTGCAGGCAGGATCTAGCGTTTAAGCTTAAGAAATTTTAATTTTATAAGCAAGCTACGGGCTAGTTAGAGGCGGAGTTAGTATGTTATATGTAGGGCGAGCGCGCGGTTTTGTCACGCGACCGCGGATTTCGAGGACCGTGAGTATTTTTTAAATGTGCTTAAGTGTGTGTATATTTTTGTTGTGTCTTGTGGTGGTGCTCGAGCGCACGAGCGAATCAAAAAACCTTGCCATTTCATTCGCCGGAGGGGTGTGTGGAGGATCGTATAGATGTGTAAACTAAATTATTGTTTACTTTAAGGAGTTATTTGTACAAAACTACGATACCGATAACCTGTTCCAAGCTGTGTGCACACTCTCTCGGAATCTGTTAATCAAACTACTGTAAAAGGAAAAGAAAATAAGAGGACAGGAAGAACAGTGTGACGGAGGTGGACGAGTGCTTCGAGAGGGAAGTAAATTGGAGAACGATTCGACGGGTCTTTCGAGACGACTACATACGTACACTGTAACTGAATACGTCTGTTAACCATGTGCCGTGAATGTTTATTTTTCATTGTTTCAGAGTAATCGTTATACATATATGGTTAAGAGAGGAAGCGACCGCAGGTGTGTTGTGTATAGTTTAAGCGCGCAAGATTGTTCGTGTGATTCATTTTTTATGCTCGTTCGGCGACGAACGAGGAACAACCATCCTCTTTTCCGTTTGTTACTGCTACGTTTGGTAAATCAGTAAGGATAGCCACGCTGATAATTGATCGATGCTGGAACGCGGGAGAACGATTTAAATGATTAAATTCGCGCGGGTAGTCCTTAGTCAGCGGCGATTCATTCGATTACGCCACCTAATGCTATACATTATTCGAGGTATTTATTAAATTGGCGCACGTGTAAATCAAATAAAGAAGGAACTAAATAACGAAAGAGAAGATCCGATTGATTGGAAGCAGGGCGAACAAGTTTTCGATCTAAGCGGCCGAAATAGTCACACCCGGGGGAGTTCGGTTCTCGTATGAAATTTGTACCAGATGTTCTCCAGAACGCAGACGAGCGCGCTTAATATCGTCATGTAGATCAGTCCCAAGAGTAGAAAATGAACGTGAGCATATTCCACTGATCGAAAAGCTGACTCCACGTCTACCTCGGAGCTTCGTGTTCCCTTGGACCTCCATTTCCTTTCAAGATACTTCACTATTCCCGCGGAATGAAGTCGCATCAGGCTACCAAAAGAAACAATAATTTCATTCTGAACTTCTCGCGAGAACGTTCACTATGATCGTTCAGGAGACGATAGAGCTTACTAAGTGTCTATCGAACGTCGATGTTCCGCGAACCTAGCATGCAGAAACGAGATCTTGAGCGTCCAGTAATGGTGGGGGGTCTGAACGATATGGCAGGCGTGCCGAACGCGTCGATAAATCGGCAGAAAAATATCCGGCACCTCCAAATAAGCGAAGCCGTGACTGCAAAGCTGTGTGTCCAGCGTGCTAATGTCTCTCATGTCTGGACAGCCGTTATTGACCAGATTCCTCCACTCCTTCTTCACCTCGCCCCTCGGTGATCCATTCTGAAAAGTAAAAAAAGGAAAACAAGAAAAAAAAGAGAAGGAACACCCATCGCGTCGCGTGAAGGAAGATTAACTTTCGAAGTCTAATTAGAAGATTAACCCACCACGGTGAAGTGGATATAAGCGCTGCTGTCGTTCCTCACGCAAACCGAGTGACTGCGTTTTTGCAACGCGTCTTCGAGGCTGGTTAATGGAACGGATTTTCCGCGTATCGCTAGATAAGAGGTGAGCGTGCTGCTAAATCCTCCGGACAGCAGCATTCCGGTTATTAAATGGGACAGAACAATCAGTCGAAGTGGCCAGGACGCCGGTATCTTTTCGCATCCTAATCGAAAGCATTATAACAGGTTCCATTACAAAGCGTATACAACACATTGAAACCCATAAATTTTTCTGTCTCTGGTATGGTTTCGGAACGTTTGAACCTCTTTACCTTGGCCACTCAAGCTTCCAAGAACTACGAGCAGATTAAAGGACGCGGATGAGAATTCCTCGTCGTGGTTCGCGTGATTCGTCCGCGTGATCTTGACCAGGTAATGCACCCCTATGATAACGACGACGGTGGCGAGGGTGAAAATCAGGATGGTCAACCATACCCCTTGGCTGAAGACGTTCGTGTACCATTGCTGCAATACCTCCGTTCCGTCGGATTGCACGAACAACGCGTATCTACGACAATAATCCGTACGCGCACAGTTACAAGAAGAGGGATCTTGTGTGTCTTCTGGCAAAGGTATTTAGATCGAGGTATTCTTGCACGAGTGGTTTGCGCTCTATGAAATATCGCGGGATGATGGTTAATCTCTACGGTATGTCGCAATAAGAAAAAAAAAAAAAAAAAAAAAAAAAAAAAAAAAAAAAAAAAAAAAAAAAAAAAGCGAAAACGAAGTGTCACGAATGTGGTGTGGACTTAGGGACATGTAAATTAGAGGGATGGCTTACGAGATAGTCGTAATCGGCGTGCTGTAAGTGTAATAACCGGAGGTGTCCGAATAAATCACCGTGGCCACCAGTAGTGCGTGAGCCTGTCCATTCATCAGCGTCTGGCTGGCCGACGGTCCCGCTTTTCGGTAAATCGTCCTGCATTTTCGACGAAGAAACGCCTTTATTACGGTGCACGCACTGGCCCGCCACTATTTTCTGTTCCCTTCGACCATCCCCGGCCCTCCCCCGTGATACTATACTTATACCTGTCTAGACGAATGAATCATGCGAGTATTTTGACCCACCGTGGGGCGTGTGGGTGGTACACGGAAAATTGGTCAGATTCCTCGTACGGTCTTTTTACGTGGGGTACACGGACCCTATCATTTGGACGCTCGCCGTGAAATTCGAATGAATGAAATCGACGTAACAGGTGCAAAAACTATCGATTAAGATGCGCGTACGTCGGATAGTGTCTTTAACCCTTAACACCATTGACAGTCCCAATAGTACATGAAATTACGTTTTCAAAGCTTGCAGCTAATTTGTTGAGAATTCTATAATGTCGAATCGTCGATCGTGACAGATTATATGAAAATAATTTCAAACAGATCGAGACGTACTTGAATCCCATGAATTCCTCCAGAATTGTCCATATGTCCCCGATAAATCCGGTTACCGCAGTGTCGTTCGACTTTCTCATAATGTACGGATGCATCTGAGAAATATTGTTTCGATTTATTAACCTTCGAATGTGTTTAACGTGCAGATATAACGACCGTTCTGTACGCACGATGTCCGCGGCAACGACGATAGTCTTTCCCCGCAAATTATTTGCCATTTTCACGCTACACACGGCCGTTCCGTTCAGTTTCACAGCTTGGATCTCTTCGAATTCCTGTGCAACACTGTTCCATCGCCAAATCTGTCCTGGCACCGTATGAAAGATCCTCTTCTCGTCGGCGTTCTTCAGGAATCGGACACATGTTTCTGCCGCGGTCAGCGCGAACAGGATCTAGAAAATTTATGTCGTTACGGTATAAAACGTCGGAAATCAATTCTTTCGATACACTCACTGTCAGATAAATGATGTTCATGTTACCACGAATCTTTTCAGACTGCGCGCACAACCCCGTTCCATTGTTGCGGTTTGGAATAACGAGGTGACTAAGCACGCGTATTTCGGACGACATGATTGATGGGTTTGACAGAGGCATAGACGTTAATTAACAGTTTCACTTTTAATAGACAGGCGAAACTATTCGGGGAATGCTCGAGCTTTTCGTGGAAATAATAATTACACAGAGATATACATAACAGGTAAATATCACAATACAAAAGAACAACAATAAAAATAAGTCTGAAGTAAAGGGCGATATATATCGATGTAAATCGTTCCCTAACATTGCGAATTTTCACGAATTTTCACAGATTTTCACAGTTCGTTCACTTATCAATGAAACGGTAAAAGTCGATGAATAAACAAATTGAATCGATGTCGGGATCTTGATTACAGTTGGTAAAGTAAATCTCTGTCAGTGTCGAGGAAAGGAGCGTCACCGGATATCAATGTTCAAGGGGCGGACCAATCGC